CTACATCTACTCTTCCTATAGACTACATCTACTCTTCCTATAGACTACATCTACTCTTCCTATAGTCTACATCTACTCTTCCTATAGACTACATTTACTCTTCCTATAGACTATCTCGCTTCGCTCGATAGTCTACATCTACTCTTCCTATAGACTATCTCGCTTCGCTCGATAGTTTACATCTACTCTTCCTATAGACTATCTCGCTTCGCTCGATAGTTTACTCGATAGTCTAAAGGCATGAAAAAAAATATCATTTAACTGATAAAGCCGATAAGTTTTATTCCAAAAGAAGAAAACAAAAACCATTCAATCTTACTTGTTATTGTCTCCTTGTGCCGCGCCCTCCTGCTGTTAATCATGATATCAGAAGATTTCCAAACTCAGGTTATTATCAAATCATTACAAGACTTGGGGTACCATGAATTAGCAAGAGATTTGCTTACTGAGTACAGCATCCGAGTTCAGAATCGACAAGCACAAGAAATTCCACTTTTATTGAATTGGTTCCGTCACGCGTTGCGCACGCACGACTACCCTGCTATTGATCAATATATAGTCAAATGTATCAAGGGCGAAAATGGCAACGGCAAGGAGTTGATCAATTTGACTAATTACCAAGGTGGAGAAAAAGATTTTCAGAGTGTTTTGCATGCTATTTTGTATATGGTTCGAAGAATGAATTTTTTTGAAAATAGAGAAAAGTTGGGTGATTTACAATTCATATCACAGCAGTTGTTGCCCTTGCTTGCACGTATCAATAAAAACGAACTTTGCGGCTTGTTCGAGCCCTATATCTTGGAAAAACTCGAATTTGAACAAGAAAGTCAAATATATCTAAATAAAGATATATCTGCCAAACACTACTATTTCAACCTAGCTAATGTCGAAGAAAATAACATCTATCAAATCCAAGATATCATATTTCAAAAACTATTCAAGTTATCGTCCTCAGTTTTCAATTCTATAACCAATGTGCCACAACTTTCTACGTTAATAGAACAATCAGTCAAATATAGACAGTCACAATCACCACTATACATTCCACCAAGAACCAAACAGGAACTCAAGAAAATAACAACTACTACTGATCCTTCTTCTTCTTCTTTTTCTTCGTTTCAAACACACAATTTCAATGTTACTAAACACTTGCACACACTAACTCACCATTTGGATGAAGTTTGGTTCTTGAAGTTTTCACCGCTGGGAAAGTATTTAGTAACAGGTTCATTGGATGGAAGAATGATACTTTATGACGTGTATGATAATTTCAAATTAATCAAAGTTCTTGAACCAACAAATGCATTAGATGATGCTGCATTTGTGCCATTTTCAACAAAGCCATCACCGGGCAAAACGAAAGCAGTGATTTATTGTTGCTGGGACTCAAAAGAACAATACATTGTTAGCTGTTGTCTAGATACAGTTATCCGAGTTTGGTCTATAGGAGATATTCACAAAAAGAGAATGACTCGAAGCGAAACTCATTCGGCTCATGATATTAAGCTAATGACCTGTTTCACATTAGGCCAAGATGTGAAGACTTGGTCATGTGAGTTTCTTCCACCGTCCAATTCAACTTCTACTTCAACTTCTTCAACACCATACTTTATCATTGGTTCCCCTGATAAAGTGTTGAAAATATTTGATTGTACCGGGGTAGAAATTTTTGATTTCTACTCAAATGCAGATGACGAGACTGCGAGTTATGAAATTCTTTGCAAAGAGATTAATTTCTTGCGGAGCCGACACCGTACTTCCTCGCAACAAGCTCTTCCAAAGGGAGATGATGTCTCTATGAAGGATGCAGACGATGCAGCAGGAGCAGCAGCAGGAGCAGGAGGAGCAGCAGGAGCAGGAGGAGCAGCAGCAGCAGCAGGAGCAACAGGAGCAGCAGCAACAAATTCAAACGGCGACAACAACGAGAATCCATTTTACAGAATCAACGATCTTGCTATAACGCCAAACGGGAAACTTTTAATAACAGCAAATAACGATCAGCAACTACATTTCTTTAGTATACCAGATGCATTTGACGAAGGATCAACTACTCGAAAATTGGCGGCAATCAATTTACGAGGTCGATTAACATCATGCTCGGTTTCATCAAATGGGAAATACGTTTTAATAAGCTCGGCACCTGACGAATTGCAAGTTTGGGATATTTCACCATTGTACAATTTAAGACCACCAATATTGTATCGCAAATATATCGGACACAGTCAAAGTTCATACATAGTTAGATCATCATTTGGCTATCTAAATGAAGAAACAGGAGAAGAAGAGTTAGTCTTAAGTGGCAGTGATGATGGGTTTGTTTATTTCTGGAAATTACATACTGGTCAATTAATCACTAGAGTTAAAGCACACAATGACTTATGCAATGCAGTTGATTGGAATTTGAAAGGTGGAATTTATAAAAATATGGACTTTGGTAAATTATGGGGTAGTGTTGGTGATGACAAGTTGGTGAAGATCTGGGGTACATAATAGTAACAATAATACTAATAATAATAATAATGATAGCACTAACAGTAGTATTCAGAAGAAGAGAATCTCCAGATTTAAGTTTATACCAAGTTCTAAGTTATCGAAATTTTTTGTCTCCTATATTATTTTTGTTTTCTTTAGATAGTGTACGGTATTACTTACAATTCGTCGTGCTCAACTTTTGCTTCTGCTTCTTTCTCAGCTTCCTTCTCTTCTTCAACGACAGCCGATTCTTTCTCTTCTTCTAATTTGGCCTTCAACTCATTACCATCGACATTCAAAGAACCTTTTTCCTTAACAAAATCTATTAATGTACTCAAGTCTCTTGCACCTTCAAATACAATTGGCTTTCTCAATCCCGTACGTTCATCCAATTCACCATTAGCTGGGAACAACAACAATGTAGGGTATCCTTGGATTTCATATGGCACATCAACATCATTCAGCGTGTGATCAATATCAGCAATAATGACACCGGAAGCACCTTTATTTGATCCAAAAACTTCTGCCAACTCTTCCCAAACTGGAGCCAATTTTTTACAGTGTCCACACCATGGAGCGTAATATTTAACAAATATATCCTTTTCCAAATTGTCCAAAATGTCCTTGTAGTTATGAGCAACTAATTTAACAACGGGATTAGCGGCGATTTCTTCAGCGGTTGGTAATGGTTCTGATTTAATGATTGGGGTCAATTTATCATTAAAGTAATCCTCGATAAATTGTTCAATAACTTCAACCGATGGACCATCAGGGTGCTCGGTTTGGTTTACACCATACTTTTTATTGTCAGCAATATGTTGAATAGCAAACAATGGCACAATTTCCGGGTTCATGTTAATGGCTTCTGCATGTCTTCCAAACAAGTTAGCATCCAAACCAACAATGTTCAATTTACTTCTGTATTTTCTACCCAACTTGCCCATTGCTTCAGCTACTGCTTCTCTTTGTTCTGGGGTTTTGTAGAAATAATAAGCAATTGGTAATGGAGAAGTCATATAGGACATATAAGTGTCTCTGTCCATATCTCCGAAATATGGGATAGTTTCAATATCAATCCATTCACTCAATTTTTCAACGTCTGCTTTACCATCAAACAAAACAGCATCGGTCAATTGTTTTGGATGAACAACTAAAAATTGTGCCTTTTTCAAATCTTGACCTAATTTTGTACCCAAAGATTTCAAAAACTCCTTGTCAACATTGATAAAAGAAAAATCTTTTCTTTTCAAATTGGCCACTTTTTTGAAGATTTCGTCAGCTGCCGAGTTAACCTGCAACACAAATGGTTTGGTTTGTTCGTCGATAACCTTTTCCAAATCCTCCCAGCTCGTTGGTGCTTGCACGGCTGGCAACGATTGTTTGATCATATAGTCAACAATACCTTGGTGCTCTCTTGGTCCTTGGTAATCTTCCGCCTTCTTAGAGTCACCGTCTCTAACAATCTTCAAAGTTGGATAACCTTTGATTTCGTGCTCCATACATATAGCTTCGTCCGCGGTACAGTCCACCTGAGCTAATTTGATATTTGGATGAGATTCGTTCAAGGTATCAGCAGCCTTGGAAAATTCCGGGCCCAAGATCTTACAGTACCCACACCAAGGAGCAAAAAATTCCGTCAACACCAAAGGGTTCTCTTCAAGAAAACTAGCAAAGTTTTCAGAGGTCAACTTAACAACCGCACTATTAGGGTCAGCAGCAGCTTCACCATCTGTTGGACCACCTGCTTGTGAAACGGAAACAACGGCTAAAAGTGTAGCCAAAACACTGGTAGAATACTTCCAAAATTGCATAGTGTAGTATAAATTAAAATTGACTATCAACCAATCTCCAATTTTTTTTGGGGGGTCACGAAAAACAAGGGCTTTAATTGGGGTTTATATATACAATCAAAAGGTTATACCTTTGATCCTTTTTTTCATACAACTGAAAAATCTCCGATGGTTTATTTCAGTGTGATGTGTCACATAAAGGGGAAATTTGACACCGTGTTTATAAAGCACGTGACTATCACTATCGAGCACCACTATCGAGCACCACGATCGAGTGGAGCACACCCACTACTATCGAGCGAAGCGAGATGGTAGTGCAAGATAGTGGAGCACACTTACTAGGTGGAGCACACTTACTAGGTGGAGCACACTTACTAGGTGGAGCACACTTACTAGGTGGAGCACACTTACTAGGTGGAGCACACTTACTAGGTGGAGCACACTTACTAGGTGGAGCACACTTACTACGTGGAGCACACTGACTACGTGGAGCACACTGACTACGTGGAGCACACTTACTAGGTGGAGCACACTTACTAGGTGGAGCACACTGACTACGTGGAGCACACTGACTACGTGGAGCACACTGACTACGTGGAGCACACTTACTAGGTGGAGCACACTTACTAGGTGGAGCACACTGACTACGTGGAGCACACTGACTACGTGGAGCACACTGACTACGTGGAGCACACTTACTAGGTGGAGCACACTTACTAGGTGGAGCACACTGACTACGTGGAGCACACTGACTACGTGGAGCACACTGACTACGTGGAGCACACTTACTACGTGGAGCACATTTACTAGGTGGAGCACACTGACTTCACCGACACTGACTACGCTCTCTAGCTCCACTATCTCGCTTCGCTCGATAGTGGAGCATGCTCGATAGTGGAGCATACTGACTACGTCATTAACATTATCAAACGCGTAAATTGCCCCACGTGATACACTAGTATTAAAACCTATTGTTTAACCTATTATTAGACCTATTGTTTAAAGAGTCTTGTTAAAGAGTCTCGTTTCATGTCACACGCGTTGCCATGCCTGCGTTTCACGTGATACGCTAAATATTCCTTCGCAGCGAGTATGTCACGTGATTCACTATTGAGCGTGCTCCACTATCGAGGAACTTGATGGCATTGTCAGTGTGGTATACTATCGAGCGAAGCGAGATAGTGGAGGTAGATAGCATAGTAGAGCTTGATAGAGTAGTCAGTGTCGGTGAAGTCAGTGTGCTCCACGTAGTTAGTGTGCTTCACCCTCTCACTTCGCTCGATAGCAGTCAGTGTGCTTCACCCTCTCACTTCGCTCGATAGCAGTCAGTGTGCTTCACCCTCTCACTTCGCTCGATAGCAGTCAGTGTGCTTCACCCTCTCACTTCGCTCGATAGCAGTCAGTGTGCTTCACCCTCTCACTTCGCTCGATAGTAGAGCTTAATAGTGTAGTTAGAGTGCTCCACTATCTTACTTCGCTCGAGAGTAATTAATGTGCCCCACTATCTCGCTTCGCTCGAGAGTAATTAATGTGCTCCACTATCTCGCTTCGCTCGATAGTGTTGTGTCAATAGAGTTAGAAGAAACTATCAAAGAATCATTGCTCAGTCGCAGTTTGTTTTTCTTTCCCCCCACATTAAATACCCAAAAACTCTCTCCATGTATCCCAGGTATCCATTTCAACATCATAAATATACGTCATTGAATGGCGCAAAGAACTCTGCAAATACTGTGGCTTGTAATCATAAACAAACATAACCAACCCCCAAGTGATTATAGCAAAATATTTCCACAGTTTGTTATAGATCAAATTCTTTAATTTCCTCTGTTGATGGCCATTTAAATTCTTATAGAGCATTGTATCGCCTTGGTAGTTGATAAAACTGGGCTGAAAACAAACAAGATACTTATCTAATAAAATCTTCCCCAAAGCCAACAAAACTCTCGAAAAACAGTATAATGTAATTTGGTGAGTGATTCCGCCATTAAATAAATTAAAATGTCCCGAGTAAACAATCCATGAACCAAAACAGCCAGCTAAAAACTTGGTCAATCGTAAATTCTTCCTCCCCAAAACAGCATCGCTCTGTAAGAAATGTACTGCAATCTTGTATATTATAGCAAAAGACGCCAATACTTGCGCATGATCTTTTGTTGCTTCAAAGACAGATTTCATTCTTGGTAGTAGAGGCCCCGACTTGTATAGTAAATTTATCACCAAGGCATGCGAGAATCTCAATTTTCCACCATAAACAATCCCATTCCTTGCAGATCTAAGTATCTCAAAAAGGGGACGATATAAAGGGTTTGCTAGTATTGACATTGCGAATCTTTCCTTGCCTTTTCTCTTGTCCTCTCTTTGCCTGTATTGGTCAAATGTATCAGCTGGATATGACTATAGTGTTGCTCGATAGTATCAGCTGGATATGACTATAGTGTTGCTCTACTATCTCGCTCTGCTCAATAGTGTAGATGGATATGACTACAAAGTATTGCTCCACTATCTCGCTCTGCTCGATAGTGTCGGTGGATAGTGTCGCTCGATAGTGTCCTTCTTTTTTTTCCCCAATAGAGGACAAGTCACTTGATGATTAGATTAATTATATAAAAAGCGAGTGTAAACGTACGAGTTTAAAGAAATACTAGGCGGCTTCTTATTCGAGGAAATTAGATGCTTCTAGTTAGAGATGGACTGGAAAAGAATTTGTAGATTATGCTAATACAATTCATTAAATGAATATGAATATAACTCTGTTCCTTTAATCTTTGGCGCAACGTGCCCTTAAACATGGCACGCACAGCTTTTTTTTCCTTTGGCCAATGCATCGCCGACTCAACGCGAGAAACTCTTCTCTTTGGCCCTTTACATTAGCCCTTAAAGATAACTCATCAACGTGCTTGCTGCGCCGCATCCCATTTGAGGAAATTGACTTATTTTGTTACTGAAGCTATTGTTGATGTTTCTTAACAAGACTTTTTAATAATAACTAGGGACTATTAAGTTGTCAACTACTTGTTATCAAGACATATAGCTACTAGCTGTTGGCTCACTTTTTATAGCGCTAATAGCTCATCAATAGACACTAGTTACGGGTCACTCATCAATAGCCACGACGCTGCTAGCTACTAGCTGTTAGCTCACCATTACCTGTTGGCTACTAGCTGTTAGCTCACCATTACCTGTTGGCCACTAGCTGTTAGCTCACCATTACCTATTGGCTACTAGCTCATCACTAGCTACTAGCTACTAGCTCATCACTAGCCACTAGCTCTTAGATCATTACTAGTCACTAGCTACTAGCTGTTAGCTCACCATTACCTGTTGGCTACTAGTTCCTAGCTCATCACTAGCCACTAGCTACTAGTCACTAGCTACTAGCTGTTAGCTCACCATTACCTGTTGGCTACTAGCTACTAGCTCATCACTAGCTACTAGCTACTAGCTACTAGCTACTAGCTCATCACTACCTACTAGCTACTAGCTACTAGCTTACCACTAACACTACCTACAATCTATTGCTTCTTTGCCGCTTCTATTGTCCAATGTGTTAAATCACTAACCAACAAGTTACAAACATCAGCCACTAAGTTAGTTTTCAATCCAACATCATTATGAAAAAGGCCAATGACTTCAAACTAAACAAATTATCCAAAGAAGACTTGTCCAAAAGAGACGTGTTTGGACGTACCATACTTCATATCACAATTTTACTAAATGACACCACTGCATTACGAGCTCTAACGAAAAATTCCAATTTCAAACTGATTTTGCAATTACTTGATTACGAAAATGGATGGAATTGCATGCACTATATAGTATTCAACAAAAGGATTCATTGTTTTTCCGTGTTGATCCGTTTTTTCCAAAATTCTTGTGTACTAAACCTTTTCCAGCCTAATGGACCGTTTATCGAACTATTAAAGTGTAAGGATAGAAACGGGTTGACTCCTATGCAATTGTTGGATGTTAAAGAGCTTAAAAATTTGTATATCGGTGTTGACGATAACTTTCATGTGATGAAGAGCACTTTTAAAGCATCATCAAATGAGCTTGAAGAGGAGGAGGAGGAGGAGGAGGAGGAGGAGGAGGAGGAGGAGGAGGAAAATGATGATAATGATGATAATGTTATTGGAAGGCAAGCTCAACAAAAGAAATTATTTCACACTGGAAGATCGGATGTGTATGTCTTTGGAAGAAACACTAGCAACCAACTTGGTCTCGATGATGCAAAAGATAGATCTATCCCATCTAAGCTACCTCGCGACACATTTTTGGAAAAAGTTTACTCGCAAAAACCCTTGAACAAAATACTTGAAAAACCCAAGTACAAGGATATTTGGATTACGAAGCATCATGCAATTATATTACTTCAAAATGGTAAAATATTCTCATGTGGCAAGGGATTCCGTGGTATTCTTGGTCATGGTAACGAAAGAAGTCATGCTCATTTTTCAAGTATTGAATTCTTTAATGATTACGAATCAAGGCGTGTTAAAGAAGTGGCCGTGTCCAATAATCATTCCATTGCACTAACAGAAGCCAATGAAGTTTACGCTTGGGGTCTAAACAGTTTTAACCAACTTGGAGTCAATTCTTCTAAAAAGATGAAAAATTATTTAGAAGATTTCATTCCAACACCTGTGTTGGTTTCAGGTGAGTTACGTAAACAAGGAGAAAAATTGTTAGGAGTTGCTGTTTCAAAGATCCATTCTGTAGCCTGGTCTCAAAATCTGCTTTACTTTTGGGGCTTGAATGTTGGACAAATGGGTATTTCTTGCTTTACTGGAGATATAGAAATCAAACTAAACAATCAATCTTGGAAAGGCGAGGTCCAACCAAATCCGAAAATGATGAGACTTCGAGACGATATCAAATTTGTAAGCACCTCGGAGCTTTGTACTTGCATTGTGACCACTTTAAACGATATTCATCTTTATTACAATTACCAACACTATAAACTTCCCAAGATTAAAGTTTTCAAAGATCTGGAGTTTGATTTATTTAAACCACGGAGACTCACTGAAGCAACAGTTATCAAAAAGATAGTGTCACGAGGACCAGAAAATACCATTGTTTTGTTAAGCAGTGGCACAGTGTTGGGGTTAAATCTCAACCTAACCGATATCAAGAGCACTAAATACACAGCTATTTGGAAACCGCAATCCAAGGATATGATTGCAATGGATGTAGACATTGCAGCTGATTCTTCTGTGGTTCTTTGTACACGAATTGGTTCTGTTTTTTTGAAATCATCATCATCATCATCATCATCAACAACAACAACATCATCATCATCATCATCATATTCATCAACGCAATTATCTACAACATCATCATTATCATCTTCATCTAGTCAGCGTAATAATTCAATTAGTGGAATCACATTGCCCATCCCTGTAAGCAAGAACAAATTCAAAAAAATCGAGAGTTTGAATAGAATAGTACAGGTTAAATGTGATTTGCAGTTTGCTTCCTTTGGATTTATTAGAAGTGATGTGGGCATTGTGCCTGTTGAGCTTTGGCAGAATGATTTTTTGGAGGATATAATGTATCTATCACCGTTAAAAAATGAGATTAATTTACACCGTAAACAACAGCAGTTGATTGAATCAAAAGGGCATACTTATATCACCACTTTTTCTCAGCTAGAAAATTGTGAATCAAGTGGCAATTCAAAACAAACGGTGTCTTCGACGATAATGACACCGTTTTTGGATGAAGACATCTTGAATGAAAAGGGGTTTGATGCTTTTGTTGTAGCAAAAAATGGCTTGAAAATTGGATTTCACACGGATATCCTAAAACACAAGTCGAAAAATTTCGACCTGTTACTTTCAGGAGTGGGAGATATCATAGCTGGAGACAATTTTAAAGCTCAATGGTTACCAAAGGAGTCACAGCTTAAGATTTTATCCAATACTCAGACACAGGCTCTTTTATGGTTTATTCACTCATTATATGACGCAACTTTTAAAGCGGAAAGAACACCAGAAACCAAACGCATTTGCGAAGAATATTCTGAGATCTGCTCTCTATTTCATTTGAAGAAAGATGAAACACTAGTAAATGGGTTGTTAGAAGGCGGAGGAGATGTTCAGTTCAAGTTAAAAGATGGCGGTGTAATACATGGTTACTCATACATTTTAACAGCAAGGTCTGCTTTCTTTGAAACTATTTTATCCGAGAGATGGAGGAACAAAAGCGATTCTTTTATTCTTGACTTTAGTGGTTTGACAGTAAATCAAATGAAGTTAATTTTGCTGCACATCTACGGTATTGGAAATGACCAGATTATTAACAATTTTTTTGATCTTGTCTTTGACAGTGATGTGAACGAAATTGAGATTATCAACGAGGTTTTAGAAATGATTGAGATTGCCGATGAGCTATTACTATTCCAATTAAAATCGGTGTTTGAGCTTGTGCTCTGTGACATGATTTATCTAGACAATGCCTTGATTTTACTTATGCATGCTGATGATTTGTCGGCATCAAAGTTGTTTATGAATTGTTGCTGGTATGTTTATAACAATTTGGAAGTGCTTTTTTATGATTCTGTATTATTGGAGCTATCGTCAGATGTTGTTACAAAATTGGAAAGGCAATGTGCACTTTTTGAGGACATGGCCAAAACAACTACAACAACAACAACAACAACAACAACTATTAAAAGTAATATTCTACCCTCTAAAGGGGCTTCTTTACAGTCAGAAAAAGATGCCAAGTGTCATTATGGTGATGGTGGTGCTAGCAACTTTGAAAACCCAAGTGTGAAGCTATTCTTGGAGAATTTGAAAGAATTTAACGAAGTATATATGAGCGATCGAAAAGGGTTTGCTTCGTTTGAACCATTAGTTGATAGTAGATTGGAAGTAAAATCAAAGGAACCAGGCAAGAGGAGAAAACCAAGGAAGAGTTCCAATTCTTCTATGAACTTGGAAATCAAAAATTTCAGAGAAAACTTGACAATAGACAAAAATGGCGAGTCCTCACATCAACCCTCAGTTAACAAGCAAACGACGTCAACAAACAGTTTCAGTTTCAGATTACGAACCAATGATGCAGAATCTAAAAGTCCACTGCCACTTCAAGTTCCAGAACTTTTATTGGATACACCAACCTTGGCATCTCGAGCTCCTTTGACTCCTTCTTTACCCCCCAAGTTATCAATATTGTCATCTGAAACGAATTTAGAAGATACGAAACGATACAAGGCAAAGATAGGTCCGCATATAAAGCTATCACAAAAGGAGAGAAAGAAGTTGGCATTGACAGCAGCAAAAGAGACCAAGACTGTGGAGGAGCCTAAGTCTAGTACTAATTTAGCGCCATGGGCAAATACCATTATTGAATGTACTCAAGAGAATATAATGATAATAGATTCCAAATTCCCAGCACTTGGTATTAAAAATGACAAGAAGAAAGAGGCACTACCGCCAAGCTCTTCCAAGTCCAATAGTCCATCAGCTCTACCGATGAACTCATCAAGCTCATCCATATCGAGTATTTATTCAATAACACCATCATTAACGGAGGTCAAGGAAACCAAGTCGTTATCGGAGATAAAACAGGAACAAGAATTTGACAAGTGGTGGCAAGAAGAGTCTAAAAGAGTACAAAGAGAGATGGGTATTATAACCGATTCGAAACAAAAAGTTGTCAAGGTATCTCCACCGAGTGCCCAGAGTAAAACTTTGAATTCTCGTGCAAAGCAGAACAAAAGAGTTAAGAAGCATGCAAGCAAGTCCAATTAGGCTTGTCTAATGTCACGTAATGGTTTGTATATGTATATATGTAGAATTTTAGCTACAACTTTTTATTTATAACCACGACCACTATCGACACTAGCAACACTAGCAACACTAGCAACACTATCTGCCAATAATTATGAACTACATTTACATATTTCAAGTGCAGAACTTGCACAAGGTAAAAGAATGTGCGAGTAAGTGGGGAAAGTGCGAGAGTGCGAGAGTGCGAGAGTGTTTGCCTTTGATTTAAAAGTAAAACCTATAAACGTGGTGAGGGTCTATTTTGTTAACCAAATTAGTATAGCATTTTAGCTCTCTAAATAAACCCGACTTTAGTTAAAGCTTTTTTTTTCCAAAAGAGAAAACGATTGGAATTCAACCTATCGAGCCAATTGATAGATTGATAGAGTCTTGAGGCTTATTTTGGGCGACACTATCGACACTATCGAGCGAAGCGAGATAGTGGAGCAACACTAGTTGCCACTGATACTATCGACACTATCGACACTATCGAGCGAAGCGAGATAGTGGAGCAACACTAGCTGCCACTGACACTTTTCTCACATTCTACGTCTATTTCTAGGCCATCTTCACACTACGTCTATTTCTAGGCCTTCTTCTCACTCTACGTCTATTTCTAGGCCTTTTTTATTCTACGTCTATCTCTACTCACTTCTTACATTGTACGTCTATTTCTACTCACTTCTTACATTGTACGTCTATTTCTACACCTTTTTTACATTCTAGTTTGTGCGCTCCACTATCTCGCTCTGCTCGATAGTGTCGATAGTGTCGATAGTGGGCAGCTGAAAACTTTTGCCAGTGCGAAAAAACAAACCAAAATTTCAACGAAAGCGAAAGAAAGGAAGGAAAAAAAAAATTCAGTTCAGAAGAAAAAAAAAAAACCAATTAGAAAAATTTTTCAAACTTTTTCAAAACTCATTACTTTCTTTGAGCAAAACTCATCTTTTTCGACACACAGGTTTAGGTTATTTAAGAAACAGGTGTTGGTAGATCCCATTGAAGTTCTTTTTATTCGCTTTTTTTTTTACTCGAAATCAAGCGAGTTTAGGTTTTGGTGAAGGCTTTTTTTTTCTTAAGGTCTAACTTTAGAAGAAAATTTTTTTTTCTTCTTTTGTCAAGTGTCATATACCCTTGTTTGATCAAGGAATTACGAGTTCAGCCCTTTTTGGAATAGAATTTGGCTGAGAAAAACCATTCGGGAAACGAGGAAACTATTCAGTTGATAGTTTGGCTGAGAAAAACCATTCGAGAATCGAGGAAACTATCCAGTTGATCGTTTGGCTGAAAAAAACCATTAAACAGAAGAAAAAAAAACGGGGAAATTATCCAGTTGATAGTCAAGTGGTGCCAGGTTTCGGAGAGGGAAGAAAATGAGCAGCTCCAATATTTCTTATGCCGCAGCAGCAAAGTCGTTAGCCGAGCAATCTTCAAAGCAGACTCAACCACAGCATACCCAACCTCAGCAGGCTGTGGGAAAGCAGACTCAACCTCAGCAGACTGGGGGGAAGCAGACCCAACCTCAGCAGACCACGACAAAACAGGCCTTGGAAGCGACGAGCAATGGCGCTAGTTCTGCAACTAGCACTGGAACCGCAACTCCTTCCGCGACTACAACCGCAACTACAACCGCGACTCCTTCCGCAACTACAACTGCGACTGCGACTGCGACTGCTCCGGTGACTAGTTCAACATCCCCATCACCCAGCGTCAAGTCGTCCCCGTCCAAACCTAATTTAGCCCCAGCACCAATACCTTCCACCTCAGCCTGGGGATCTATATCGAAGGAAGTCTCTACCTTGAAACTAAGTGATAACAAAAAGACACCAATTTTGGGTGAACAATCGCCGTCTTTGAAGCAACAAGGACAACTGCCAAAAAAGTTTATCAAACAAAATACAACAAAATGGGTTCCTCTTGATGTTAATGTGACGTTGCAATCGAGATCCAGTGGTTCCGGTGCAAAACTAAGAAACAAAAGGAGACACAATAGTGCCGGTACTGCAAAGGATCAAAATGCAAAGTCCAGAGCAAGTGGTAAGAAGAAGGAAGAGTCGAAGCAAATTTCGACTGATGAATCCACAAGTGTTCGTGCAAGTGGCGACGATAAGTCTGAGGACCAGCGAGTAACCACTGAGCCGCAGCATGCAGATGAGAAAAGAGTTGTAAGTACTGATTCCGCTTCTAAGATTGAAGAGAAAGAACCCACGGTAGAGGAAACTACTTCTTTGACCACCGAACACGAAAAAGATGCATCTTTTGAAGACAAAAAAAGAAAGGAATCTACAGGTTCGGCATCCGAGAGTGCTGATTCTACCGAGGAAAACGTTGTGGTATCTGAAGAAACCCAACAAAATGCACAGCAACAGCCACATCCAAAGCAATTTAGTAATAGGCGTTTCAATTCAAACTACAATGGATCTGCCAATGGCTATTCCAAGAGATACAACAATAACAATAACGCTAACTCCAACACTGGTCAAAATTACAATATAAACTATCAAGGACAGCAACCATTTGCACCACGTCCATATAGACAACAAAGTTATAAAAACAGATACAACAACCAAAATGGTTCATCCACACCAAATTCACAAAATCAACAACAATTTCACCCTCAACCTTATGGAGGTTACATGGCACCCATGTACTATATGCCAATGCAAACTCCACCACCAGCAGCGTTTATGTCACAGCATTATCCTGCGGCAGCAGCAGCAGCGGCAGCAGCAGCTATGCTTGCTCAACAATACCCACAACAACAACAACAGCATCACCAGCATCAAATTCCAGTTCCCGCCTTTACTGTTCCGCCACCGCCACCACCAATTTCACCAAAACAGAATCCTCAAGAAGCTTTGATTCATCAACTCGAATACTATTTCAGTGATGAGAATTTAGTTAAGGATTTCTTTTTGAAGCAGAATATGGATGCGGAAGGATGGGTGCCTTTGGATTTAATATTGAGCTTTAAGAGAGTCAAGATCATTACCAATCAAGGAGGAATTTCAATGGAAGAAGTTTTGAAGCAATGTCGTAACATTGAAGTGAACGAAGAGGGAAATAAAGTGAGACGCGTTTAACTTGCTGCTGATGCAAATTTGAAATCTGAAGGATTCTACTTTTACCTAAAGAAGGGACTGGAAGTCTCAGGGCGTTACTTGATGGACATACTATGGAAAGAAACTAGAAGATCATTCTTTTTTTGTTTTTGTTTTTCCTTTTTATGTATGATGCCAACAAGAATCGCAGGGTGCACTATGTTTGGTTTTTCCTTTATTATTTTGTTGTTGAATCCTATCCATTTCATATTTTTTTTTTTTTTTGAAAACACTTTGAGGCATTACTGTACTCTGGAGCATCTTCAAACACTAATCACCACCACCAAAAACATCGACAAACTAATTCTTACAGTTTCTATGCAACACGTTACCAAGACGATGAAAACTTAACGATTAAGGAAAAATCCTTCTATTGCAGTTTTTATCTTTTTTTTTTTTATTTTTTTTTTTGCATTCATGAACAAAAGATAAAAAAAGAAACTTTTATAAAATAAAGCCAGTCAAAACTAATTAAAACCAGTAAAAACCAGTTGAAACCAACTAAGAACAGCTAAGAACAGCTAAAAATAACACTACAATTCAAACCAAAGAACATTGATTTAAGACAAATTTGTAAATTTTTTTCAACGTAATAATTGGTTATTCATAATTACATAACAATACATAAATTTTGCTCACTTTTGAATCGACGAATTTGTAGTTGTAGTAGTAGCTAGTTATTTAATTACAATTTGAATAAAATGAAAAGAAGGAAAATCAAATACATTTTATAGAACATTCATACACGATTGTAGTAAAGACTTTTGCCTTTAGAGTAACTTAATAACAAATACACTTTGGCATATAGATTTATCTTGCCAACATTACCCAAATTTTCTTTTTGCTCCCAATGGGATATATCTTGTCAACGGTATAGTTCACAAGATATTGGGTACGATTCAACACCTCAAAGATTAATTACGAAATCGCAAGAATTAATATATCGGCAAAATCTATTCTCTCGATGAGAACAGTTAACCTTTTTTTCCACTCTAGACAAGAGTTCTAAGGGTCTAGTGGTTGAAGAGTTCTTGGCACATGTAGTGACCTCATCTTGAAAACTCATTGTCATTATAAAAAAATGCTAAATACGTAACCATCATAGCCTCAACTTTTTTTTTTTTTTGATATAATTTGGAAAGAAAACATAGTCCTAACAAATGTTCCTTAGCAAACCTTGTAGGTTTTGATTCCATTTTTCATCCCCCTTTCTCCTCTTCCTAAACAAATTCAAAGCTCCCCCCTACGCTCCGTCTTACCAAAGTGTTGATATCCCATATTAACATCCCTGCATCTTGACACCCAATTACAATCTTCATTTCTCCATTCTTACCATTGATAAACTCAACACCCAGCAATTCCATTTCCCCATGTACGTGGTTTGTCTGCTGTTGATACAGATCATTACAATACTCTGTGTTGTTTAATACCGACAGGGTTGACGAAACCGAAGTCGAAGTAGCCAACTGAGGCGATGCTCCGGGTAATGTTCTAGGATCTGTAGAAGATGCTGAAGATATGGAATAGTTTCGATATATTTCATTTAGTTGAGAGTCAATGTCCACGTCATAAGAAACTGAGGCTCTTGGGGAATGGTGGGAAGTTCTTCTTGTGCTAAACCTTGAAGTTGGTGAAATCGATAATGAATCGTCGTAGGCATTTGTAAGGTCTCCAGTACTATTGATACTACTATTATTACCACTGCTACTTGTCCATTGAGGATTATTCAATTTTGGTTGCGAATCAACTGTAGAGGGAATTGGTGTTTGTGGTGGAACGTAATTGAACTCCTTGAACAATTTAGTATTGACAGTGGTCAAATAATCATAATCATAAACAATAGGTGATGTAAAGGATGAATATAAATCATCTGAATAAATATTAATACATCTTTTCTTTTCCTCTACTGCATCCTCTTGATGATAATTTTGTTGTTCCATCTCGCGTTTTTCTTCTTCCTCTTCTTCTTCAATGGGCATTCTCGCTTGATTGTAGTTGGCAAACTGGTCCAAAGCAGCAGGCACAACAATAACTTGTCTTTCAAATGTCCTTAAATCAATCAAGTGTACTCTTCCAACATGTTCGGCAATCATCAATAAATCGTCTCCAGTAGCGCCTCCGCCTTGCGATATTTTGCAAACTCTGAATGCACCCAGTTGATGCCCAAATCTAGTTGATTGAAATTCCTTCAACGGGGAGGACAAGTGCCTCAAGTCGTATAATTGACAAGTACCGTCTTGAAAAACCGATGAAAAAATATAGCCTTGAGAATGAAACGATAATCCAAACCCGCCTTCGTGACCAGAATTAATAGTCTTGACTATAGGGTCTGGTGATTGCAAATCAATAATAAAAATCAGCGTAGAATCACCAACTGCCGTAATCAAGTTTGATCTTGGATTTTTGACACTTGAATTAAGACAGGTATTTGATTCACAATTAATCTTATTTGTGATTTTGAAATTGCAATTATTGTTGATATCAAGACAGTATAAATTAGCATCATTATTACATAAATAACTAGTTAGTTGTGAGTTTGAAGTTTGGTACAAGGAAACATCATTATTGATCATTTCTCCAATTTTGACAGTATGAAGTAAGGACAAATCTGGATTATAAAAGGAAAACAACCCCTTTGCAACAACTCTTCTTGATGAGGAAGCAGTTGCAGTTGAGGCAGATGTGGAGGATGCTGTAGTTGTTGTTTCAGTGCCGACTTGTGGCATATTATTAGTTAAATTGTCCAAATGCAACAGAAATAATTTTGAGCTACTGGTTAGTAAGCCACCAGTAGCAATCATATTGTTGTGATTATCGAAACATCTAGGATAGTAATTAAGTTTGAGTAGTTTCCTAGTTGTCTCTTCAAACAGGTCGTATGCAAATATCGAGTCGTCTCTTGTATAATATAGCAAGTCGTCCAATTGGTTATATTTAGTCAAATTCCTCAACTGCCAATGATTTACCGAGGTTTTGATATTGGGGATATATCGAGGATGTGATTTTACAAAAGTCCTCGAATGGTAATAGTTTTGGAAGCACTTATTGTAATGGTTTGTTACTCGATGGAAATGCTGGGAAGATAATATACTACTTTTCCTTCTTTGTTTCAAAGGCAACTGGTGGTGATTATGATTTTGGTTAAGGTTGTTAGACAGTGGTTCTTGCGGCTGGTTACCAAACTTGCTGTTACCTAAAAGACTACCTGATTGTCTCTTTGTAGCAAACGGTATAATTACCAGCGAGTTATCTATAGTCATATTAGTCCGACACTAAGGAGTGGAGCTGTATTGAATAGCACTGTGCGGAATAGATAACAAATCGTGAAAAATCCTGGCTGCTGTACTGCCTTGAACTTGTCTTCTCTGCTGCTGCCTTAAAAGCTCGGTTTTTTTCTCTGCTACTGCTCTGGGAGCTCGGTTCCCTTCTCTGCTACTGCTCTGGAAGCTCGGTTCTTTGCTCTTGTACTGATTTGGGAGCTCGGTTCTCTTCTCTTGTACTGCTTTGGGAGCTCGGTTCTCTTCTCTTGTACTGCTCTGGAAGCTCGGTTCTCTTCTCTTGTACTGCTCTGGAAGCTCGGTTCCCTTCTCTGCTACTGCTTTGGGAGCTCTGTTCCCTTCTCTTGTACTGCTCTGGAAGCTCGGTTCTCTTCTCTTGTACTGCCTTGGGAGCTCGGTTATACTTTTGCTTTTGCCTCAACCCCTCTAGCTCCTGTATATAGTAGCCGCTGGTAAAAGGTATAAAAAGAGAGTTGTATGTAAATGGCCTATCTATTATACTCGTTAATTTCAAGAGGCAAAAAAAAAATGTGTGATTAAATGATATGATTGAGAGAGAGAAAATCTGGGGCTACGGTGGGGGAGAGGGGGGGGGGAGAGAGAAGGAGGGGGGAGGGAGAGGAAGAGAAAAATTGCATTGCACTGCACTACTTAGGGTGTAAGACGGTAGCTCTGTAATAAGCTTAGGGAAAAAAAAGGCCAGGATAAGCACATAATAAAAAGGGAGAGAAAAATGATAAGAGGGAGGCATATTGCAAGGGAGAAGGTTTGGGGATGAAGGAATATTGTGAGGGAGAAGGTTGAGGGAGAAGGTTGGAGGGGGAGGGGTTAGAAAAGGCAGTAGAGTGGGGCCAAATGGGTCAGGAGAGGTCAGGAGAGGTCAGGAGAGATCAGGAAAGATCAGGAGAGGTCGAGGGAAAAAAGCCAAGAAAGGCGGCTAAGCTTGCATTTTAAGCCGATAGAATAAAACTAAACAAAGAGTCCTTCAGATCCTGATATATATGGTAAATAAGAGTTTTTTATACTTAGCAGCGACACTATCGACCTACACTATCGAGCAGAGCGAGATAGTGTAGAAGCACTGATAGTGACACTTTCAAGCGACACTTTCGAGCGACACTATTGAGCTACACTTTCGAGCGAGACTATCTCCCTCTGCTTGATAGTGGAGTATGACTTTTCTAAATTCTGGACTTTGTTAGATTAATCTATAATTTCAATTTAGTCAATTTGACTCTCCATATTTCTTTAGCTTGAGTCACTCAATTTATATCTTCTTGGCTATAAATTTAGGCCTAAAAAAGGTATTTCAAACTCTCCGATTCTCGGTCGATATCGACATTATGGGCACTATGCGACACTATGGAGCAGAGCGAGATAGTGGAGCAACACTTTGTATCTTACAACACTATCTCGCTCTGCTCGATAGTGTTCATAGTGGAGCAACACTAGCTGCCACCTACACTATCGACACTATCTCGCTTTGCTCGATAGTTTGTAAACGGCGCTATCAAGTGCAACTTTTACAAAAGTATATTGCTTTTATTTGAGATAAAAAGTATTTCCTGTAAATGGGACTCAATCTACAGAATAGCAAAGTCTCTTTTATAGACTCCTTTTACAGGGTAATCTCTTTTATAGACTCCATTTGCAAGATAGTAAAGTCTCTTACATAGTCTCTTTTATAGACTCCATTAATATTGTTGTTTATTACACTTCTATAAAATATTTCGCTTCGCTCAATAGAGCCAAGTAAGTCGGTGGCAGTCAGTGCTTGAATGTAGCACTATCGAGCAACACTCAGTAGCTTGTTACAACACTATCGAGCCGAGCGAGATAGTGTTTATAGTGGAGCAACACTTTGTAGCTTGTTACAACGCTATCTCGCTCTGCTCGATAGTGTTCATAGTGGAGCAACACTTTGTAGCTTGTTACAACGCTATCTCGCTCTGCTCGATAGTGTTCATAGTGGAGCAACACTTTGTATCTTGTTACAACACTATCTCGCTCTGCTCGATAGTGTTCATAGTGGAGCAACACTTTGTATCTTGTTACAACACTATCTCGCTCTGCTCGATAGTGCCGCTCAGTAGCTTGTTACAACACTATCTCGCTCTGCTCGCTAGTGGTAGTGTCGATTCTCAACACACTTGTTCAATTGCAATATTTTGAATTCCACACCTTAAATAATTTGCCATTATCCTATTAAACGAACTAGCATCATTAGCAATCAACTTATTTCTATAATCAATAATTAAAGGCAACTGCGGCTGCTTGTTGTTTGTCAGACTAACCTTGATCAAATTATTATAATCTTGCAATTGCTCGTGCAATTCAAACTGTTGAAGTAGCTGCTTCCTAGTAGCTCCAGGCTGGTCAGACTGTAAAAGAAGACGAAGCATGATACTCTTGTTTTCAGGGTGAATATCAAGGTGTTCCATTATAAAGTCATAATCTTCTACACTCAATTGTTGATTTGTCTTGAGATCAATTTGAAACTTGACGTTTGTTGTTACCGGATTTGTATATGAATTTAATTTGTTTAGTAGACTCTGTGATGTGGTGCTGTTCTTGTTGTGGTACATTGTGATTAGAATTGGAGGTACAACATTAGTTACAGCAGTAGAAATACCAGTAGATGTAGTAGTTGAATTTGGCTTTAAATACTTGATAATATTCTTGAGCATCAGTGAATCGCCAATCTGTCTTTTTTCTTTTCGTTATCCCTTGTAACCTTGTATTGACCCAAATTCAATTTTGATCAAAAATGGCTGCGAAAATTTTATTAAAGGAAAAAATGAATTATTTATTTGTTGCTTTGGAAAAAATCGACAAGGAACAATGTCCAATTCTTATAGACAACTGTTGATCTATTACAAAGTATTAAAAATATAACAAAGAAGCAAATAAAGAAATAGATCAGTTATTGCTTCCACAACAATATACCTCCTTTTTGCTGTATAATTTGTGCATCTTCAATATTGTTGGCTTATCTTGACTAATCTGACCAACAAACAATATGCTTAGTTCAAAGTCTCCTCTTTTTCCCCCCTTTTCCACGCCTCTTTTTTTTTTTTTTTGTTTTTTAGTTAGAAGCATCGCCTCTATCACCAATGCTTTTGTGGGCCTGCATTAAAGCTTTTACTTGCTTTTCAAACAATAAAAAAGGGAACGTTAAGGAAAAGGAGGGGAAGGGAAAAAAGAGGAGAACTATTCTGTTTTTGGTAGCGATCTATTGCCTCAAAAAAGGGAAAAACTAGCAAACAGAAGATAAGGGGTATAGGCTGGTGACACTGACTAGTGACACTGACTAGTGACACTATCGAGCGGTACTATCGAGCGGCACTATCTCGCTCTGCTCGATAGTCTATAGAGAGGATAGAGAGGGACTGAGCAGAGTATAGAGGGTTAGTAGTAGTTCAGTGAGCATCACTGAGTGGCACAAAAATAGTGTAGACAAACAATTAAAATGATTATGAGTCTGGAATTACTTTTTTCAAAACTCCGAAATTATTTAAATTCATTTAGTTTTATGTTTAGTATCTTAAAATGTTGGATTGCGAGAGAGAATCAGTCATCACAACAAACCCGTGTGTTTATCAAAAAAAAAGTGTTCACGTGGTCAATAGTAGTAGTAAAATTCCCGCTTTTCTGTTCAAGTAATTACCTTGAAGTATAGTATAACCCTAGATGTATAGAAAAGACCAAGATCACCAGAGGAGCCAAAACTACTCTGCCTCATTAACCAGAGGAGCCAAAAAATACTCTGCCTCATTAACCAGAGGAGCCAAAACTACTCTGCCTCATTAACCAGAGGAGCCAAAACTACTCTGCCTCATTAACCAGAGGAGCCAAAACTACTCTGCCTCATTAACCAGAGGAGCCAAAACTACTCTGCCTCATTAACCAGAGGAGCCAAAACTACTCTGCCTCATTAACCAGAGGAGCCAAAACTACTCTGATGCTCTACCTCATTTACCAGAGGAGCCAAAAAGTACTCTGGTGCTCTACCCCATTTATCAGAGTCGCATTTGGCTCCTCTGTTGCTCTGCCTCATTAACCAGAGGAGCCAAAAAGTACTCTGATGCTCTACCCTATTAACCAGAGGAGCCAAAACTACTCCGATGCTCTACCCCATTTATCAGAGTCGCATTTGGCTCCTCTGATGCTATACAGAAGGAGCCACTAGAGGAAGCTAAAAGTGATGGTTCAACATCTTCAGCATCTTCAGCACCAGCACCAGCGTAGCCTTCCTCTTCAGCACCAGCTTTGCCTCTTCTCGACTCGCAAAACAGGGATTCTAAAAAAACCAAACAGCGTGGCTAACCGAAGCCAATACATTTTTTTTAACTGAGCATTACAATTGTGTAAATAATAGAGGTTAGTGTAACTGTTTCTTTTGCAGTATTAGTCTCATAATAGTAGTCATAATTGATGTAGCAAACTCCATCTGATACTGAGGTCACAAGATTACAGATCTCAAAGCATTACTACTGCTACCTTATCTCTCTATAGTTTACACTACTCTCTGCTCAACTATTGAACGAAGCGAAATAGTGTCACTGCTCAATAGTGTCACTGCTCAATAGTGTCACTGCTCAATAGTGTCACTGCTCAATAGTGTCACTGCTCAATAGTGTCACTGCTCAATAGTGTCACTGCTCAATAGTGTCACTACACTCTATGTTTATGCTCCACTAGCTCGCTTCGCTCGCTAGTGTCACTGCTCAATAATGTCACTACACTCTATGTTTATGCTCCACTAGCCCGCTTGGCTCGCTAGTGTACTGCCTTATCTCTCTACAGTTTCTCTTGATATCAAATGAAAAGTCGTGTATTGTAATCATCAGAAAAATATGCAAAAATTGTCAAAAATCATCTTATAATCATGAATAGTCTTATGACAAACCCGTGTATTTCCAAGATTGTTACCTTGCCCCCTCCCACATCTCCACTATGCATCCACAGTTAGATAAAAATAGATTCGACACATGTGATAAACTAATGGACGCGCTTGAAGAATGTCATAGACAGGAATTTTTGAAACAATGTTTAGGACTATGTAATTTTGAAAAAGATCAACTTGCTCAATGTTTGCATTATACAAGAGTTAATGATGCTAAAGAGAGAATCAAGCAAAGTCGAGAAAGACAAGCTAAATGGGATAGGTCCAGAAAACAGAGAGAGGAAGAGGCATATGGTAAAAACGCATATTTGAAAAAAGTTATCGAAGTGGAAAAACAGAAAAAGAGCTCTGAGTAGTCAGGAAATGACGTCGATACTATCGAGCAGAGCGACACTATCGAGCAGAGCGAGATAGTGGAGCAACGCTTAGGAACTTGTTACAACACTATCGAGCAGAGTGAGATAGTGGAGCAATGCTTAGGAACTTGTTACAATAGGTTGTTACAACACTATCTCGCTTCGCTCGATAGTATTGCTTCGCTTGAAACCCCCCCTGTAAATAAATCAACCACCTCTTCAAGACCTCGCCAGTCACGTCTATATTTTAAATATACATTTCACTATGTTCAACTACAGAAAAAGAGCTCCGAGTAGTCAATTAATGGTGCAAGGATGATGTCGACGTCAACTGTATAGTCAGTGCTGCTCCACTATCTCGCTCCGCTCGATAGTGTCGCTCTCTAATCCTGCCTTGTTTTCAAAACCCGTTTCACAACTTTGTCCTTTGTGATGATATAAACAACACATCCCCACCCACTCAAAGCATCACGATCAACAGCATTTAACAACGCCTGACTAATAGTCTCAAACAATTGTTCTGGCTCCAAATCTGGCTCGTATAATCCTTCACACATACCATACAACTGATCAGTCGCAGTTCCAGAAACTATAAAATCGTGACTATAGTCAATACATCCAATCGAATCAAATCCGCATATAAAAGGTTTGTTATCCTTACTGCCCAATCCAGCAACAATAGGACTTACAAACCATGGTCCAAATCTTCGCTCGTATAATGTCGAACTGACGAGATTCGCTAATGTCAGCGGTTCAATCTGATGCTCTTCTCGTAATTTATACAAGTTGGTCTTGAATTTGAAAAGCTCATGAAGTGTAGTTACATCGGAAGCTAACCCCGTGAGCGCCATATACGATTTCTTCCCAAAGTCAAAGATTTTTTCAAAATGATTCGATACTCCAAGCGACTGTGAACCTAGACGTAAATCACTGGCAATGGCAACACAATCTTTGCCAATCATTGCAACTGCCGCACCTCCATTTATTGAGAACGGGTCGGACATTACTGAATCTGGAGTTTTTAGTTTCTTTGCTCTGTTCTTGGTTTGACTAAGATTGGTGGCAATTGGCAAGAATCTCTATATTCATATATTTTCATCATAAAGCCAAAAGGAAAAAGGAAAAATAAAAATAGTTGGAAATCATAACGCTACCATATGACATTCTAGATACATATATATATATATATGATACTACATGTTCGATCTTAATACAACAATACTTATATAACCACGGCGGAGACTTTGTTTTGTAAGTTTAGATTAGGCTTTTTAATACTATTAGCAGGGGAGTGCAATTCGACTTTAGTTACTTCGCTATCACCCTCATTTTCCCCCTCAGTTGCTCCACTTCCGCCTTTACTACTGCCTCTACTTCTCCCTCTTCTTCCTCCTTTTTTCTCATGTTCTTCTTCTTCTTCTTCTTCCTCCAGCTCTTCGGCTATTGCTTGCTCCATCATTGGTGTTTTCATAGGGGTGTTAAAGTTTGTTGTTGCAAGCAATTGAGCTATGGGGGATTCATTGTTTTTGTAATTGGATAAAGTGAATGTTTTTGGTGATTTTACCAATTTATAATCTTGAGTTAGCTCAGTTAGGTTTTTAAGTGACATCGAGGTTTTATATGTAGGTATTACTTGAGAAATATCCTTCATGTTGACAAATAATCTTTTGATCTCGATTTTGACAACTCTAGTTAGGTCGTCATCTTCTTCTTCATCTTCTAATTCCTCCTCCTCCTCTTCATATTCATCTTCATCCTCCTCTTCATCTTCATCCTCCTCCTCCTCCTCTTCTTCTTCATATTCTCTCTTTTTTCTTCTTCTTCTTCTTCTTTCTTTTACTGTAAATGTGTCTGTCTTTTTCTTCAGCTCATGGTCAAACCTTAATTGTAGAGCAAATCCCAACATGATTATATAGCTCCGATAAATTTGTAACTGATACTTATAAGTTTCAATCTTTAAATTGAAATTAGTTAAAACTCGATTATAATTAGACCCGCCATAATAACTCTTGGGTAGATTGTTAATAAACCTTTGCCTCATAGTAACAAAATCATTATGCGATTTCTTCAAATGATTGTAGTAATTCGAAGTCTTAACAAATTGTTTCATCATCCCCATTTGATTATTAACGTTACTTGATAAATTTACCCCAGCCACCAATGGTTCCCATTTTTGTATACGCTTCATCTTTTTAAACTTGTCTCTATGGGCAATTAAAAAATCAATGTTATTCCACCCATAATCTAATGAGGATACACTTTCTTCTAAAGGAGGTATCGCTGTTATTTTTGAGGCCCAAAAATTACAAGTATTGACAAACTCCAATGCAATCTCTTTGGTTCCAGCCTCAAATATAAATTTCTTAGCTAGTCGCTTTGATACTCTAGGAAATGTCAATGACCAAGATTTGCCGCTTTGACTTGTTTCCAATTGGGCAAATGAAGAACATAGACTATAACTACCAATCTTTGCTGCATTCCTCAACCAGTTTCCATCACCAACATCTTCATCTTCATCGTATTCAATCTCTTTTTGCTTTTTCACAATCTTGGGATCAAATGAGTATAATAAAATTTCACCCTTTGAGACAACAACAAAATTCTCAGTAGTCCTACTCTTTAATAGGTTTGAGTTAACTCCTATAGTGTTTCTATGCTGATGCTTGAATAAAGATAAAAAACGATTATTGTTATTGTTATTATTGTTATTAATATTTGCTGTTTGATGCTGATGGAAAGTAGAATCAGCTTCGTCAATTGAGTCATTATTCAATACTCTCAATTTCAATAACCCTTCTTTTAAGAAAGGGCTACCATTCAACTCAAAGGATTCTTCTTCGGAATCTTCAAAGTCGTATTGTGAAAACTCGTTGATATCAATATCAAGGGAATCAAAACTAGGGTTGTATAACTTGTCATTGCCATTACCATGGCCGATCAAAGCTCTTGCTAAACCGACTCTTTGTGGTATACGAGATTGTTCTGATGCATTAGTAAAAACTCTGTTTATGCCTAAAGAAGATCTTTTTGTGTCAACTGACCATATCGATGAAGCTGAGGATTGTCTTCTAAGTTCATGCTCCAATCCATGTTTACCTTTGCCATTGCTGCTATTGGCATTGGCATTGGCATTGACTTTGGCATTGACATTGACATTGCTCTTGCTCTCATCGCCAGTGCCTTTCAAGTGTAATTCGTTTTTCAACAAATCGTCATAATACATGGCCAATTCATTTTCAATAGTACATTTTTCAGTTATCGTAATCTTGCTCAGTGTTTCTTCATCTTGTAGTAAAAAAGTTGTAAACGTGTTCAGCACGAAATCAGCCTTACTTATTCTTGATCTCTTGCCTAGCTCGGCATTGTGCAAAGCTGTATTGAGAAGTATCAAACTGTACATTACAATATAGATCATTTCATAATTATTAGTTTTGAACTTATTCCTTGGATGCTGTTCCAAATATGAGTGGGCAAAAGAGCTCATGATCCTATCCAACTGCTGGCTTTCTGCTCTCATATGTAAGCGTTGACAAAGCATTCGAAGCGAAGTTAGGATATTCTCGGGGAAATCAAAACATCTCATATACTCTTCACGCAAGGAACATGATGCTGAACCAAGGATTTTGATTGTTTCCTCGGGACTGAACTTGTCGTGGTATAAATTTAGCGCGGTGATGGGATAAATCTCTAAAGTCATTTAATGGAAAAAGAGACTTGGGGGGAGGGGGGGTAGCACAAATCTGTATAAAAAGCTCTATAGCCTTGACCAAAAGTTGTAATAGCTCTGACCAAAAGTTGTAATAGCTCTGACCAAAAGTTGTAATAGCTCTGACCAAATCCTCTAGCTTTGACAAAGTTCTCTAGCTCTGACCAAATCCTCTAGCTCTGACCAAATCCTCTAGCTCTGACCAAATCCTCTAGCTCTGACCAAATCCTCTAGCTCTGACCAAATCCTCTAGCTCTGACCAAATCCTCTAGCTCTGACCAAATCCTCTAGCTTTGACAAAGTTGTTCTAGCTTTGACAAAGTTGTTCTAGCTTTGATATTAGCTAGAATTTGTTTCAACAAGGGGGAAAAACTCGAAATAGTTTAGTTTAAATTGGATCTAAATGTATAGAAAGAAAGGGAGCGGGAAAAAGTGAAAAATGGCCTAACTATGGAAAAACGAATTTAGAGGTTTAATGTATGCTCTAGTTTTCGCTTGAGAAAACGCCAGGTGTTGGGCAGTGGGGCCAGTGGGCAGTCGTAGTGAGTCGCTGTAGTAACAGTAATAGTGAGCAGTTTATTGTAATCGTCGTAAAATAATAAAACAGACGAAAAAATGACAAGGAAAAAAAAAACAAGACGAGTATTTTTTTCTTTATTTTCGTCTCTTGATGAGCTTGGTTAGGAGTAATTTGTTAAGGGGGGTCTAAAAAAGTCACTAAATGAAGATGGAGACGAAGAGGGACCCTTTTAATGGCAATTATATGTCAAGATAATAAAAAAGAAGAAGGACAAAAAAGGATTGAGACAAGGTCATTTAATGATTTGACGAAAATGAGGAATGTCATGAAAGTTTAGGTGGTAATCTCTATAGTATGTTACATTACAACTGTAAAATAAAATCTCAATGTGATTTACTTTATAGTGTTGAGATCTGGAAAAAAAAAGACGCCTTATGTAACATTAACAGGTACATTAGTCACCTTATAAATTATACTTTTCACAACACTATCGAGCAGAGCAGCACAACACTATCGAGCAGAGCGAGATAGTGCTGATGACAACTAGTGAGCAGAGCAGCACTACACTATCTCGCTCTGCTCGATAGTATTGATGACAACTAGTTTGATTTGATTTGATTTGGTTTGGTTTGGTTTGGTTTGGTTTTATCTATTGTGTTTATTATATTCAAGTAGTTTATAGTAGTGTGGAGTAGTTTAGAGTTTAACTCTATCGAGCAGAGCGAGATGTCTGTTACTCTTCTTCTGCCTTGTACATTTTCCTCCTTGTTTTAATTTGGTAACCCTAATCTTTTCCAAAAAAAGCTTAAATGAGAATCCCTCAACCATTTATGATCTGGTTATCAAGTTGAAAATAAACTTTATAGGATGTACACTACTGGATACTAGCGAGCGAAGCGAGATAGTGGAGCAGCACTTGACCGACACTATTGAGCACGACACTATCGAGTCGACACTATCAAGTCGACACTATCGAGCGAAGCGAGATAGTGGAGCACACTGACCATCACTATTCATACTGTCGAAACTATCGAGAAAAGCATGATTGTGGAGCACACTGGCCATTATCGACTCGCTTTGCTCGATAGTGGAGCACACTGCCCATCACTATCCATACTGTCGACACTATCTCGCTTCGCTCGATGGTGGAGCACACTGACTACACTGACACTGACTACGCTATCAAGCTCTACTATCTCGCTTCACTCGATAGTGTCAATCACGCTCTACTCAATAGCGTCGCATTTGCTGTTAATCTTGTACAACTATTTCCCGGGATGCTCTAGTGTAAATAACGGGGCGATAATATACGAATAGGTAGCGCGACCTTTTTTGTGCGGCGTTAACAAGAGGGGGCCCTATGAACAAGATACATTCAAGCTGAATACTCTTTTGAGTTTTATCGAGACTTGGATTTATTGAGAGCTGGATTTATTGAGAGCTGGATTTATTGAGACTTGGAGTTATTGAGAGTTGGATTTATTGAGAGTTGGATTTATTGAGAGCTGGAGTTATTGAGAGTTGGATTTATCAAGATTTTTAGTCTTATCAAGACTTTTTATTAGATTTTTACGTATATTTATCTTGTTCCAGTGACGAAAGAGAGTTCTTAAAACCAGTAGCTCGCGGCGCTCACGAAAATTATTATTATAATAATAGCTCTCTGGTCTCTAGAAGAGTAATAGTAGCTCTCTGCTCTCTAGAAGAGTAATAGTAGCCCTCTGCTCTCTAGAAGAGTAATAGTAGCCCTCTGCGCTCTTTAGGGGAAAGGTAATATTAGCTCTCTGCTCTCTCTAGAGGATAGGTAACAGTAGCTCTCTGCTCTTTCTAGAGGATAGGTAACAGTAGCCCTCTGCTCTTTCTAGAGGATAGGTATTAGTAGCCCTCTGCTCTTTCTAGAGAGGTATTAGTAGCCCTCTACTCTCTCTAGAGAGGTAGCAGTAGCCCTCTACTCTCTCTTGAGAGGTATTAGTAGCCCTCTGCTCTCTCTAGAGAGGTATTAGTAGCCCTCTACTCTCTCTAGAGAGGTAACAGTAGCTCGCTGGAGATAATAGGTCGCTATGCTCGTCATTCAATTTAGAACATTTCTTATACAGAACAACTCCAAACAGTCACCTATCTGAAGCCGATAATGCTTGTGTAGTCAGTGCTTCTCCACTAGCTCGCTTCGCTCCCTAGTGTCAGTCAGTGCTGCTCCACTAGCTCGCTTCGCTCGCTAGTATCGGTCGCGTCTACGTCCGCGCGTCGGCCCCCAGACCACACCTATATGCAGTACCACCAACTTTTAATTTTGTATTGTTGTCCACTTTGAAAGTTTTTCAAAAGGATTCCTTTAATATACTAGGTTTCTTTTGCCCCAAATAAACTTAATTGAAAAGAGACACTATTCTTTGACATCATATTTGGCTTGAAGTAAGATCTAAGGTAACCATCTCCTTCCGTCTTTCTTTGAAATTGTCCATTTTTCAAGTGAATTGGTGATTTACAAAGTTCAGTTCAGTATGAAACATAAAGCTGTCAAGCCGGTTAAAAAAACCAATTCTGGTGTTTCTTCATATACAGTTGAACCTGTATTTGGGAAAGGAGCTGTTCGTGACTATTTGATCACTGGTGTTGGTGTTACCAACAAGAAGCGGTACACAAAACAAGACTTTGCCCTAATTGCAATTCTAGTAATTGTTGGATGTTTTATTAGACTCGCTAAATTATCAATTCCAAATAGTGTCGTGTTTGATGAAGTGCATTTCGGCGGGTTTGCCAGAAAATATATCTTGGGAACCTTTTTCATGGATGTTCATCCTCCTTTGGCTAAAATGTTATATGCCGCAGTAGCAGCAATAGGCGGATTCAATGGAAAGTTTACTTTCCAATCGATTGGTGACCACTTCAAAGAGACTCCATATGTACTCATGCGTGAATTTCCAGCAATTTGCGGTGTAGGCGTGGTTGTATTATCCTACTTGACTTTGAGAGAATCCAACGTTCGACCATGGATTTGTTTCATCACTTCGTCATTGTTGTTATTCGAGAATGCCAATATCACAATATCAAGATACATCTTGCTTGATAGCCCATTGTTGTTTTTCATTGCAGCAGCCGTATACAGCTTCCAAAAATTGCAAAATATTGAGGCATTTTCTTATCTTTGGATAAAGTCATTGGTAGTTACAGGTATCGCCTTGGGATTGGCATTGTCGTCGAAATGGGTTGGTCTTTTCACCATTGCATATATTGGTGCTTTAAATATATGGCAAATGTGGTTACTTATTGGCGATTTGACGGTTCCAGTAAAGAAAATTTGGACACATTTCTTTGTAAGAGGCTTTGTATTATTGGGAGTCCCTATTGTTTTGTACTTGTCATTCTTTGCTATCCATTTCCGATTGTTGACCAAAGAAGGCGATGGCGGTGCATTTATGAGTAGTGCTTTTAGAGCAGGCTTGGAAGGTAACAGAATTCCAACCAATATTACTTCTCAAGTCGGTTTGGGCTCAGTAATCACATTAAGACACGTTGATACTCAAGGAGGATACTTGCATTCGCATGACCATTTCTACCCAGCTGGTTCAAAACAACAACAAGTAACATTGTATCCACATTTAGATTCTAATAACAAATGGTTGATTGAGCCTTTCAATGGTACTATCTACAACGACACATTTGTTCCCTTGATCAACGGAATGAAGATTCGTTTGAAACACGTCAACTCGGAAAGAAGGTTACACTCTCATGATGAGAAAGCACCGGTTAGTGAACGTGATTGGCAGAAGGAAGTATCAGCCTACGGCTATGAAGGATTTACAGGTGATGCAAATGACGACTGGCAAGTGGAGATTGTACAGCATAAAACTAAAGATCCAAATGCAAAGGTTTTTGTTCAGGCAATTGGTACCATATTCAGATTGAGACATGCAATGACAGGGAATTACTTATTTTCAAGTGAAGTGAAATTGCCAGATTGGGGGTTTGGACAACAGGAAGTGACCTCTGCATCACAGGGTAGAAGATCTTTAAGTTACTGGTATATCGAACAGAATGAAAATGCAATCTTACCAGCTGAACAGCACAAAATCATCAACTATCCAAAACTAACCCTTTGGGAAAAGATTGCAGAATCTCATAAAAAAATGTGGAAGATCAATTCTGGCTTAACGGATCATCACCATTGGCAAAGTGATCCGAGGGAATGGCCATTTTTGTTGAGAGGTATAAACTATTGGAGTAAAGAACATAGACAAGTTTATCTTTTGGGTAATGCAGTGACTTGGTGGGGTGCAACCTTGGCAGTGTTTAGTTTTATTGCATATACCATAATAACTTTGTCAAGATGCGCTTTAGGTAGGCCAGTTCCTACCAATAAGGAGGTATTCAATTTCAATATGCAAAATCTTAACTATGTAGTAGGTTGGAGTTTGCATTATTTACCATTTTTCGTTATGGGCAGACAGTTATTTTTACATCATTACTTACCAGCATTGTACTTTGGTATCTTGTCCATTGGCCAATTCTTTGAATTATTTGTTGGTTACTTTGCATCAAAATCTAAAATTGTACAACAAGTTGTATACTCGTTAATTGCCGGTTACCTTGTTTTGAGTATTGTGTTTTATATGAACTACTCGCCATTGATTTATGCTTCACCATGGACCAAGGCTAGTTGTGAAATATCGAAACCGTTCAAAGGTTGGGACTATGACTGCAACAACTTTTACAAGAATTTGGCTCAATACGACTTACCTGAAGTGATTGTCTCTTCTTCATCGGCAAAAAAGACAGTCCCAGCAGAAGCTAAACAAACTCCAAAAGCTGAAAAGAAATTGGCACAAGTGGAGCAACATTTGGAAAGCCCACCTGCTGAAAAGAAGGAAATTCCAAAAGTTGAACAACAATTGGCTCCTCCTGAGGTTAAAGCTGAAACTCCTGAAGCAAAAAATGTAGAGAAACCTATACTTGAAGAAATTCCATCAGATGAGAAGTCCTCTTCAGGTAAAGTAGAAAAAAGAGATGAAGTTGTTGAACCAGTGCAAGCTGCAGGAGAATCAGTAATAGTCGAAGAAGGTGTGTTGGAAAATTTTGTTTAAAAAGAACAGTCAAGTAGGTCTAAAAAGAAATACACATATATATAAATATATAAGTATATAAATATATAAATATATAGACATACATATGTATATACTTTATACAGCATGATTGGAATATTAACACACATAGTGATTTCAGTTATTTCAATTGTCAGTCTTACTAGCATACTCTTGAAAATTGCTCATAACTCTAGATTTCTTCAGAGACACAATCGACACAAACAAAACAGCTAGATAGTTTCATTTGTGTCTACGTCACTGCTCATCCTCATTAACAATGGCTCTTCCCTTGACGAATTTCTCCATTCTCACTTGGTCATTTAATGCAAGATAAAATTTCACAACACGAGCACAGGACTGTAGAATAAATAGCATCAAAAACGAAGCTAATCTCAGCATATCCTCATCAATAAACAACCTTAGTAATGATTTGACAATTATAATAAATACAGCATTTAAGAAAATTTGATAAACACCACTCCTTAACGAAATATAAGAAATCCTGAATTCCGCAACTTGATAAATGCCCACTGTGTAATACAAAGCTGGTAGTACAGTCCCCCATGAAGCAATAAAGTGGACAAATATTGCTCTATAACTTAGATTGAAAAAGGACACACCCCAATATTTGCTCATAATATCATCAATACAATATTTGTGCACATAAATAATCCAAAACGTCCACGAAAAAGCAAACAAGATATACCATAATGGTGATGTATTGAAAAACCTTACATTCGCATTAAATACACGCTGCACCACATTCATTTCAATTTCAGCTTCATTACCATTAGCATTATCATTATTCCTATTAATATTATTATTATTGTTGTTGTTGTTGTTGTTGTTGTTGTTATTGTTATTATTGCTACCATCAAACCTTTTATCTAGCTCGTCAAGTATTTTTATTTCCACAATGAGCCCAATGACCAAACTTAGCAGATCGGCTAATTTCCAATTAAAAGTTCCCATCAGTCCTGGAAAGACCAAGTTGGAAATATATACAAATATGTGTGTTGGGATGCAGCCAAGGAGTAAAGCAATAGCAACAATGGAAAGTATGAGTATTACTGAAAACACCCAGAGCATGAGTATTAATCCCAAACAACGAAGTTTGAAATTTGGCGGATGATAAACAACAGTATACGCGTCATCAGTGTTGACCTCGTCTTCGTCATCGTCGTCACTTGCTATTTCATGTGCATTTCTTTTTGAATCTTCCTCCTCTTTGATCTCCTCTAATAGCTTGTCATCTTTAGTAACAGAAACAAATAATTTTTTGATAAACTTTCTCGAAACTGTGTCGTTATCTGGTGCTCTCACATAGCTACCATCTGGGACAAAGCATGCATTTATTGAAGGATTGCTTTGAAAAATATTTTGTGCCTCCCAATAAGTGACAGGGCGGGAATAATCAGGACGAGCCAGCCCATATAGTCTTTGAATCCAATTTCGATATATAATGTACCCCCTCTCATGCAGAATTGGTTTTCCCAAAATGAAATGTGATAGTCTCAACTTATGCGCACTAATCTCAAAAGCTCTAGTCCAATACATTTTCACATACTTTGTGATGATAGGTTGCTTCTCAATCAATAAGGAGCTCAAACCAGATAACAGAAATAACGTTGTTCTTGGGAAAAACTGAATTGGCAAAAGAATATTATACTGGCCGTTACGTGATGTGACCAATAATCTCAAGCCCCAGGTGACTCCACCAATTCCAACAAGAATAAAGGCAGTATAAACCTTGGCACTCAAGTATGTTCGCGACAATTGCAACCTCATTGGTTTGATTAGGGCATCATGTATCAATCTTGCGTTTTGATCATCAGGAGATCGAATGAAAAATAGCACACCGGGACGTAATATTTTGGATCGCACCATACCAATAAACAAAGCAAAGGCCAACATGTATGCGGTACCACATGCCCAGTGGAATAGCATCCTCAACCATTGCAATTGAATGAATTCGCTTGATGAAGTTGATAGCAACAGTTTCTGGCTTGTTATTGGAGCTAAACAAAAATCGATCAAGTATCCACAATACAATGGAAAGATAAATATTTCGATCCCAAAAATGATGAAAACTTTAGCAGTGGAGCTTATCTCAAAAAGAATTTTGTAAGCTCTTCTCGAAGTTCCAGTGATTGGTTTGGTTCCGGAAATCAATAAATTCATAATTCTGTAAATTGCACCACAAATGAGACTATAGCCAATTCCAAGTATCAAGAACCTTTCTAGTACAATGTATTGCTGTGTAGTTCTAAAAAATATATTACTAAATGTGGAAAGACTTGGATTAACGATGTACTCAACAAGCAACGAGTATAAGGCATCAATATGTTTGTAATTAGTCTTGAATGTAAAAATGGGTATTTCTGGTATCCAACCGCCCACTACCTTAAGAAGAATCCCGGTAACATAAACAAAAACATTTCCCAATATGTGCGGAATCACGTAAATGAAGAACAAATATGCAGAAATTATAGAGTCGCATAAAACCATGAGAAATAATGGCGTTTTGATATTCAAGGTAAATCCAAAAATTTCCAAAAAATCACCAATGGCACCATTATTGCCATGTTCGCCATCAATTTGCTCACCTGGCTCGCCATCTTCATCATCTTCATCCCCTTCTTCTTGGCGCACCCGTACATCATCATCATCTTCTTCTTCTTCTTCTTCTTCTTCTTCGACTAATGCGTCATCACCAAAAACAAGATTTTCAAGCAAACGATTCCTACGCTGCGCTATTGCCTGTTCCGCTTCATGAACTTCTCTTTCATCGTTATTCAACACTTCTACATCGTTTTCTGGACGATGATTATAATGCACGTTGGCTTCTTCTTCTTCTTCTTCCTCCTGCCGCTGTTGCAGCAGAAATTGTTGTTGCAGCAGAAATTGTTCTTGTTCTTGTTGTTGCAGCAACAGTTGTTGTTGTTGTTGTTGTTGTTGTTGCAGCAGCGGTTGTTGTTGTTCTTGTTCTTGCTGCTGCTGCTGCTGCTGCTGCCGATTTTCCTCATCTGCATTAAACAACTCTCCGCGGTTTATTGCTCTTCTCAAATTTTCTTCAATCTCCATGTTAGCTTGATCGCCTTGATTTTGTAATTCATCGATTGCTCTAGTCAAATAATCCAATCTTCTAATGTTTGAAGCCGGTTCGACTTGTGCTCTTGCTTCTCCACCATTTCTTTCTTGATTTCTCAACCCCTCCAATGCATTTTGCAACATATCGACCAATCTAGTCTTGGGCTCTTTGCCGATCCTTTTGTTTAGCATTTTCAAATACCCCTCATCGCGTATAACCCATTCTCTCTCTACAAACAATGCAACGTGTATAATCAATGCAATTATCAAGTACCTCAAGCCACTGAAATAAGTATAGCTAAAAAACACCTTCAACTGGACCAAAGATTTGAGCATTGGTGTAGCCAGATCTGCCAACGCCGCCAGTATGTCATACTCACCAAAAAGCAAAGCATTCAAGAATTGGGGGTTGTTTGCCGGGAAACTGCCATCGATGGCCCATGTGTACATTCTTCCACAAAACTTCCAGAATATCGGTACTTGGATGAAAATGCATAGTATATACAATGAGATACTGATGCTCTTTACCACGGTAGACGATATGATTTGAATAAACTTCTGCCATACTAGACGCAACGGGATCTTTCTCGGCATATTTGGATCAAATATCAACTTGAAACGGTACGGTGTATCACAAATGTCGCATTTTTCGTTTCTCGACTTGTTTGAATGTTTGAGCCACTCAAGAAGACAATCTTGATGTATATACTTGATCGATCCTCGACATTTACAAGGATAGTACAAGGGCTGTGACGCAGTGGCTTCGCCTCGACATATACGACAACTATGTTCCGAATCTGCCATACCAACTTCTTTGATCACCAGATTTCACCAGATTTCACCAAATGCAATAAAAAGTTATCTATAATCTAAGCCCTTAATATACCCTATTCTACCCTAATATTCCCCTTTATACCCTTATATCCTTATCACCTATCCCCTCGTTTAAAAGAAATGTATTACTCGTTTCATCGCTTTCAGTGTTTCAGGGGAGCCCTTTTTTTGGGGGGGGCATTTTCAGAGATTTTGGGGGGAATTGCACTACCTTGTTAGGTAATAAGTTGAGAGTAGATTATATAAGAAAAATGTCTAATGGAGATGTAATGTATTTGGTAGATTATGTAATGTATCATGTAGTTTTTATTGATAAGAGTAAGAATGATTATGAAAGAATGATGTAATGGGATAGTGGGTTGATTATGTAAACACTAACAACACTATCGAGCACAGCGAGATGGTGTTGTAACAGGCTAGTCGATGTATACTATCGAGCACAGCGAGATGGTGTTGTAACAGGCTAGTCGATGTATACTATCGAGCACAGCGAGATGGTGTTGTAACAGGCTAGTCGATGTATACTATCGAGCACAGCGAGATGGTGTTGTAACAGGCTAGTCGATGTATACTATCGAGCACAGCGAGATGGTGTTGTAACAGGCTAGTCGATGTATACTATCGAGCACAGCGAGATGGTGTTGTAACAGGCTAGTCAATGTGCTCCACTATCTTATCTATAACACATTGAGATGAATAGTATATTGATAACAGATTAGGGGCCAAAATTAGGAACCAATTCATGACCAGCTTGGGAACATATTAGGGGCCATTTTATGACTAGTTTATGACCAGATCAGGGGCCAATTCATGACCAGCTTGGGAACAGATCAGGGGCCATTTTATGGCCAGCTTGGGAACAAATCAGGAGCCTATTCATGACGAATTTATGACCAGATTAGTGGCCAATTCATGACCAGCTTGGGAACATATTAGGGGCCACTTTATGACCAATTTATGACCAGCTTGGGAACAAACAGCTGGTGTCTGTGTAGTCAGTTTCTGTGGCAGCTAATGTGCTCCACTATCTCGCTTTGCTCGATAGTGATTAGTGTCGATAGTGATTAGTGTCCTCACTTTTCCTCCTTTGGTTTCCTCTTTTTATACTTCTTCTTTATAGGATTGCCATTCTCATCCAACTCAACAGCTCTCTTTTTATACTTTCTCTTATGGCGTACAAAATTACCCTCGGCATCAAGTACAACCTCACCTAATGGTTGTTCAGGTTCTTCCTTCTCTATACCGTCACCATGCATATCCTCGTCGCTTTCGCCGTCACTATATTCGTCATCTCTCTTTTTCTTCCCAGTACCATCCTGAGCCTCATCATCAAACATCTTCTTTGCCTTCTCAATCTTGTGGCTTTGCTCTAAAATATACAACATACGACTCAATTTTAACGGGTCGTTCCGCAAGACAAATGCTAAATCATTCAACTTGATTCTATTTCGACGGCCCTGAGAAACTGCGCGATCAACCATTTGCGTAGCAAGTGTTGCTATATATTCAATCAATATGTCCTCAACTGCATTAACTGTAGATTCATGCGAAAATGGTGTATCTCCCATAGCATAAAGTATGTTTTCTATATCCTTTGTAAATAGCCCTTTCCTCTTACGTTTGGGATATTGAATTGGCGGTAGATTCTGGTTGACTGTATCATATGAATTAGGCTTGTTTGACATTGTGGTAACCTCTCGTTTTTTGCCCTTTTCTTGCTCTCTCAGCCTCTTTCTTCAACGCTTTTGTTTCAGCATTGGTTTTTTTTTGGGGTTTTTTTTTTCCCTCGTTACCTTTTTTTACAATTCAAACGTACTATTAAATAAATTATACATATACAATATCCAAATATATATAAAGAAACAAGAAAGGTTTGTAAGAAATGTCCTTGAATTTAATCTCTACAAATGGGAGCTTTCTCTCTCTGTTCTCCATCCTTTTTTCTTCCCCCCCTTCTCTCTCTCTCTCTCTCTCTCTCTCTCTCTTTTTTTACTAGGCCAATGAACACTGACTAGCTTGTTATCTTACTATCTCCCTCTGCTCGATAGTGGAGCGCCAATGAATCTCTATATTTACTGGGCCAATGGATCTCTATATTTACTGGGCCAATGGATCTCTCTTTTTCCACTCCATTATCAAATCATCTTTGGGAAAGATTGTAGCAAAAACCTTAATTTCCTCACTCAAAGCTGTCTTGTGGTGAATCAAATCAGCATTCATCACGAATTTACCCAACATACCAGTAAACAACATCAAGACATAATTCTTACCAAGACAAACATGGGGTCCTGTTCCAAATACTAGCCAGTTACGCTTGTACATATCACCAGAGGCGTTCTCCCATCTTTCTGGGATAAAAGTATCTGGATCATCGTAGACTTCTGGGTCGTGCAATGCTGGATACAATGTTGGTATAATCATCGAGCCTCTTGGTGCAGTATACTTTTCAGTAACTGGGAATGGTTGTTTCACAACATATGGAACCATCAAGACTGGTGGCCTATACCGTAAACTTTCCTTAACAACATTATTGGTATACTTCATTTCATCAATCAAGCTCAAGCTGAGAGATACATTAGGATCATTGTTTCTAACACGTAATTGTTCTTCTCTAATCTTTTCAGCAACATCCGGTCTATCAGCAACAATCTGGAACAACCAACAAGCCAAAGAACTCGATGCATCCTGTGAAGCAAACAAAAAAGTGAAAATGGCTTCTGAGATTTCTCTATTGGAAAATTCTCTAATCAACAATTTTGAGTCTGGGTCACTGGAATGTTTTTCTCTGGCATCCTTCATCAAATGAATCCATTCATCCATAACACAAGTTGGCGAACCGCCCTTTTCATTGATGTGAACCTTTGCCATAGCAGCACAATTTTCAAAAACCTTCATAGTATCATCAGCAATCTTTTTCCCGTACCATGTCTTTGTATATGGGATAATAATGGGGAAGTTAACCAATTCCAACGCAGCAGTTACTCTGTAGTAATTATCAGCAACCAAAGAGATCTGGTCATCGGTAATGTAATCACCACAAAATGTTCTCAAGGATAATGCACACAACAATTCTCTAAACTCTGGGAAAAACTCTCTTGGTTCTTTATATTTGCAAAATTTCTCCAAGTAAATATCCATATATTTTTCCTGCACTGGGATATAAATCTCCAATGCCTTTTGTGAAAATAATCCATTTAATGATCTACGGTAGTCGGTGTGTGCTTTTCCATCGAGGAACACCCAATTAGAAGGTCTCAAGATCTTAACTGCAACATCAACAACACATGGCTTAACGTATTTGGGAGAAGATAAAATCTTTCTTGCCAAGTCTCTGCTTGAAGCAATAACAACAAATTTATGGAAAATTGAAACACAACTCAATTCACCGCTATCCCATTTGGACTTGTATTCCTCAAATTTAGGATCCAATGACTCTAAAAATGGACCGATAATAGGCCATATTTTGAATTTGGGACCAGCAATTGATCCTTTATTTAGTTGATACCTGATTTGATCGTAGAGTAAAATACCCAATATCGTAACAACGGCAATTTGAAACCATGATGCTGTTTGATATACGTTGTAGATGTAGCTGATATGCTGATTAGTAGCAAGGAACTCTTTGGTCTGTTCGTTAAGGAATTTCTCGACAAACAACGGGGTCGAAGTGTTGAATGAAGAAGACATTGGAAAAAGAAAAAAAGAAAGAAAAAAAAAACAAAGCAAGCAAATTAAGAGGTAATAAGCTTGTAAACCCACAGAGTTTCTCCAGGAATGTATACTCTCTATAGCGAATGAATGCTGGCCAAAAGGAAAACAAAAAAAAAAAAGGTTTATTAGAAAAAGTTACTCTCTAGCTCAAGATGTACTCTTTTATAATACCCTTTTAGTTTTATATTAATTTCACTTGATGATTTATTTTTACCTTTTCTAAGTGGTTATACAGTGATTATATAAACGAAAAATTTTCTTAAACAAAGAAGCCCGCGAAATGAAAAAAAAAAAAAAAGGTAATCGGCATTAAGATGGAACGACAGTGGAATGACACTGGCATTAAGATGGAACGACAGTGGCATTAAGATGGAATGACACTGGCATTAAGATGGGACGACAGTGGCATTAAAAAGGAACAGTTTCAAGACAGTTATTCATAGGGTGATGTCACTTTTGAGAAAGTGTTTTATTGCATGATCGAGGACTTTTAAAATACAAGCTAAAAGAAACCTTATACGAACAACTTTGTTAGCGCGAATCTTATAAGGGGCACACCGAAGAAGATATAATCTTTTTAAATAGAGGTGTTTATACGGGTTTTTTTATATAATCCAATTCTCTCTTTGCCTCATTCACTCTTTAGCTAGCTCACTGTCTCTTTACCTAGCTCACTGTCTCTTTACCTTGCTCACTGTCTCTTCACCTTCTATAGCTGGTTTTCTGTATTCTCACTAGTTTCCGCGTTTATAGTTATCTCTAATCTTTTTGCATCGTATAGCAGAATATATAAAAAATCCTATACGATGAGAAAAAATGTAGGCATTTTCTCGTTTAGGAGTTTCTGGCGTGGTTTTTCTTTTTTCGCATAAAACCATCAGATTCTCTTATCTAATAACACTATTGACACTATCGAGCGAAGCGAGATATTGGAGCACACAAGCTGTTACCGACAATCAACTTTCTCGAGTGTAGAGTGCAGTGAGTAGAGTCTAATGAGTAGAGTGTAATGTGTAGAGTGTAGTGAGTAGAGTCTAATGTGTACAGTGTAATGTGTAGAGTGCAGTGAGTAGATTGTAAATCGTGGACCTATAACTGTAGAGAGTCACTATCTCGCTCTGTTCGATAGTAGAGCACACAAACTGTCACATCTAAGACATTTTCTCCTTTCTCAAAATATACACATCTGAAATTTTGCCACATCTATCCGAAATTTCACATCAATCTGAAACCTTACTTAGAGAAAGGAACTGCAAAAAAAGAGAGGTGAGAGAGGGTGAGAGAGGGTGAGAGAGGTGAGAGAGGGGGAAAGAGGGTGAGAGAGGGGGAAAGAGGGTGAGAGAGAGAGAGAGAGAGAGAGAGAGAGTGTGTGTGTGTGTGTGTGTGTGTGTGTGTTGCTTGCTCCACAATCTCGCTTTCCTCCATAGTATAGCTACCATGTGTACCTCATCTCATCTCATCTCATCTCGCATCGGGCGAATGAAAAAAAAAAAAAAAAGGTATGAAAAGGTAAGGAAATGCTACCAAAGTTACTTTACAAAGTAAGGCCCATCCCATCTTACTATATACAGCCCCCACTAGCTCGCATCGCTATCTAGTTTTTTCGCTCCCTAGTGTCGCCTAATATAATATGGGGAAGAGGAAATTGAAACCACAAGATATAGAACGTCGTAAGAAGTTGAAACGTGATCAGGATGCACAATTATCTGTGGGACTTTTCAATGAAGGGGAAATCAAAAGTGATGATGACGATGCTGATGAAGAGAAGGGCAATGCCAATTGGGAAAATGAGGAACAGGATTATGAGTTGAGACCAAGAGTATTGAAAGAAAAGCATTTGGTTGAGTCGTTACCTATTAAGCACCAAGATGGAACGGTTGAGAAGGTTATACGAGAAGTTGTGGAGAAGAAGCAGCTCAAGGAGGAAGAAGAGGAAGAAGAGGAAGAGGAAGAGGAAGAGGAACTAAAGGAAGAGGAAGAAGAGGACGAGTACGCCAGCCTTACTCCACAAGAGAAACTTATCAAGACCAAGGAGGATATAGCAGAACTAGCTTCGAAACTAATAGAAAACCCCGAAGAAAACGTATCGTGTTTAACGAGATTAAGAAAAATGTCTGAATCTAAAAACTTTATGACTTCACAACTAGCGATAATGGCAATGATTCCAATATTCAAGTCCCTAGCTCCATCATATAAGATCCGTGCATTAACAGATATGGAAAAACGCGAAAAAGTAAGCCGAGAAGTGGCTAGATTGAGACAATTTGAGCAAAGTTTAGTTATCAACTATAAGGCTTATATTGACTTACTCTATCGTCTATCAAAAGTGTCATATTCCAATTCAGTCAATAACAATAAGATCAGTAGTGATCAATTGAAAAGAGGCAATTTAGCAGTTAAAGCAGCCCAAGAGCTATGTCTTTCGTCATTGCGACATTTCAATTATCGCTCAGAGCTATTCACAATATTGATCAAGAGGTTGAACAAAAAGCCCAAACAAGCAGAGGACTTTCCTGTTTTCGTGAAATCGATACGTGTTTTGGAACTGTTGCTAAAGGAAGATGAAGAAAATGGAGATATTACACAAGACATTATTAAAATAATGACCAAAACAATCAAGGACAAAAAATTTCGAGTTGATGAATCCGTGTTGAATATATTCTTGTCTATTTCGCTTTTAGAGGATTATGACCCCAACAACAATAGCAATAAAGAAACACCAAAGACCAAACTTCGCAAGAAAGATCGCGTTCATCTTTCTAAAAAGGAAAGAAAGAATAGGAAAGAACTTAAGGAGATTGAAGAGGAACTAAGAGTTGCACAGCAAGCAATAACCGTAGAACAACGCGAGAAGTATCAATCTGAGGTATTAAAAATGGTTCTCATGACATATTTAGAGATACTAAAAGCCGGTCAAAGTTCATTTACTCATGAAGAAGGCAATAGGTATCAGGATGCTAGTAACTTAATGGGCAGTGTGTTGGAAGGACTAAGCAAATTTGGTCAAATGTCAAATTTTGACCTTCTTGGTGATTTCTTACAGGTTCTTCGTGAGATCATGTTGGAAATTTGCGAAGAGCATTCAGTAGAAGGCGGTGTTTTTTCAGGTAAGCAAATTCGCACAATACTCTTGTGCATTGCTACATCGTTTTCGCTTGTCCTCAATCATGGATCAGTAGGTAAATTGCCAATTGCTATAGATTTCAGTATCTTCATTGACACATTGTACAAAATCACCTCGGATATTTCCCTTGATTTTGATTTGGAGTTTAGTCATAAAACATTAAGATTAGCAGACCCCTTGTCCGAAGAACAACTTACGAAACCAGCAGTGAATGTTTCGACGAAAGCTGAACTTCTTCTTCGCTGTCTTGATTTCATTTTTTTCCGCTCAAAAAATGGTACTATATCTAGAGCAGCAGCATTTACTAAACGATTATATATCCTTTCTTTACAAACACCAGAGAAGACCACATTGGCAATTCTTAAATTTGTTGGTAAATTGATGAGTCGTTACGATAATAATTTAAAGGGATTATGGAATACAGAAGAGAGAATAAGTGGCGAGGGCGATTATATTCTAGGTATTGAAAAAGATGATGAAGCTATTATCAAGGTGGAAAGATGTAATTTTGGTGCTGCCACCTTATGGGAAAATGTACTCTTGGACAATTACTATTGTCCGTTGGTTAAAGATGGCTCTCGGTCATTGATGAAAAACTGCAAAATTAGCGGGCGAAAATAAAAATAAAACTATTTACTAATATAAGTTTGGATGTGTAGTAGATATCATTTTCAAACCTTGGATACATACGAGGTGAGAATCTCAAGTATCGTATTTAATAATGCAAAAACGAAGAGAGAGAGAGAGAGAGAGAGAGAGATAGATTTAAGTGTAGAGAGATATTCAATTTCGTCTCTTTTTGTTGATTGTGTGTGGATATTATAGGTAAGAGGGTGGAATAGATTATTTAGGAATAGATTATTTGGTAAGAGGGTAAATAGAGCCCTTTTGTTTACGCCGTAGATTGATTGTGGAGTGCCAAGTTCTGAAAAAATTGTGTGCCCCTATACAATGATAATATCCTTATTACGTATACATAGTAAACTATATCAAACCCGTGTGTCCTTATTAAGTATACACAGTAATCTAAATGAGGTATCATTCAACTATTATACATATCTAATATATATGAGGGGACTGTTTTTTCTTATGTAAAAGTTGATTAGAATATACCAAACATCACATATATTGTATGTATAACTGTATAGTACAAGTAATCATTACCTTTGCTCTGCTAATCCCTATTACTCCAACTATAAATTGGGATACAGAAGAGATATTTCAACAACATTTGATAATTTGGTTGCAGAGCCAAAGCTCCCTCGGTAGGAGAAGGTCGTGGTAGCTGTGGCGGTGCGACACTATCTAGTAGAGCGAGAGATAGTGGAGCAACACTTGGTAGATACTATGGAGCAAAGCGAGAAGCTGTTGCGCTAGTGGTGGCGGTGGCGGTAGCTGTGGTGGTCGGCGGTAATCGGCGGTAGTAGTGGCGCATTTGGTCGATGACATTTTCGACCAAACCAAAAAAAAAAATTCATTTTGCAGCTAACGAAATATCTTGCAAGCTTTTGCCATCACCACCACCACCACCACCATTAACTACAGGAAGCTTTTGTTGGTTTGTGGAAGATATGTCTTTCTCATGAAAGTATGAACAATTCAAATTCCACCTTTGCAGCTAACACCAATCCAAGTTTTGTTCTCACAGTTGACACCAACCCCCAAAAATTATCAGATGATATTCCTTTAATCACCTCTATAGGTGATAAAGCGATCCTTCCCCCCTCAATTCTAGAATCAATAATTTACCAATTTGCCGAGAGCTTACCACATCCACTTGTTTTTAAAATTTCAACTGCAACCGCTCACACATATATCGGAGTAAAAGAGTTTACGAGTACAGAAAATGCAATACTCCTTCCTAATTCTGTCTACAATAAGTTGAGCCAGCCAAACAAAGTGATTGTTCAGCTAAACACTTCTATCCCCAAGGCAACATCGCTCAAACTCAAACCGAGACTATACTACCCCAACATCTCTAATTGGAAGTATTTTTTAGAAAGTAAATTGAACATGTACTATACGATGGTGGAGCGAGGACAAGATTTAGTAATCGAGGATCAGGGTTTACGATATGTATTAAATGTCGAGGAAATCAATGGAGACGAAAATGTTTTGGTAGCTAGTGTTATAGACACAGATATTTTATTAGACATTGTATCACTTGGGGGTGAGCAGCAGCAAAAACTTGACTTTAATGAAGAACCTGTGGAATTGTGTTTGGAAACTAAAGAGATTAATACTCATTTGAAATCATTCTTGACTCCCGGATTTCGACCGACTATTTTTAAGTTACCCGTAAGTAAAGCCACTAATAATATTGTTTTAGAGATGAGTCCAGTGGGGGACAATTTGGATGAACAAGCGATATTCAACATTGATATGATTATTGGTGGAGATAAATTTGTTTCGATGGAAAATTTTGAATTTAGCACAATGGATCAGGATGCAAAATTACAGCGGTTTGTAGATACTGGCGAAAATACAGTGGTCAAACAGATTACAATTGATGCTAAACTGGATTTTGTGTTGAACAAATTGAATTGTATTGAGGAAACTGATCCATATTTATATCTAGTACCATTTTCCTGGGACGAGGAGCAAGATGTGATTATTAGAGTATCCGATGATTTAGAATCACTCCATCACCACCACCACCTGAAAGAAAAAGAAGAAGAAGAAGAGGAGGAGGAGGAGGAGACCCAAGAAGAACTTTGCTCAGCTCCCTCGCTTAAACAATGCCCCAATTGTTTGAAATACATTGCACCAGATAAACTGCTACTTCATGAGTCATTTTGTTCAAGAAACAATATTCGGTGTCCTCGATGCAATGTGGCATTTCACAAACTGGTCTTTGTCACCCATTGGCATTGTGACCAAGGCTGTTCTTCATTTTATTCAAACTCCAGTCTTTTGAGATTCAAGCATATTAAGCTCTACCACTCTGTACAACAGTACCAATGCTGCGATACCACATTTACTGATTTTTTCCGATTGGTTGATCATAAATCTCACGAGTGTCCGCGAAAACTACATCAATGCAAGTTTTGTCATTTGATTGTACCTCAGGAATCTGCAACACTGGAATCTAAACTCGCCAATTTGACTCAGCATGAGTATATATGTGGCAACAAGACGACAGAATGTTGTAAATGTTTTAAAAATATACGATTGAAGGATTTATCGAGCCATATGAAAGTACACGAGCTTGACAAGATTCAACAGAACGAAGCACTTGAATTTATCAAGTGTTGTAATGTCAATTGTATAAATGAGAAGGATATGGATAATGAATTGGACTTGTGTGGAATTTGTTATGGACCGTTATACTTGACGCAACACGATCCCACCAATATCAAGTTGCAACAAAGAATAGAGAGGAAATACATGATCCAATTGTTTCGAGGATGTCAACATTCGTGGTGTAGCAACGAATATTGTCGGACGGGCAATGGAAACAAACTATCTACATCAATGCAAGATCTACTCAGTTTGACAAATGAGAAACTAATCAAAAATATATATAAGCCTGGTTTGCCTATAAATAAGAATGTTGATGAGGCAAGGCAGGAAAATAATCAGGTGTGGTTTTGTGTCAATGAGACAGTAAGCAACAAGAAACTGCTCTATGATATGTTTAGTAGAGAAGGAGAATATGATGAAAAGATTATTTTAAAAGCATTGAGCGTGAACAATAGCAATGAGAAGGATGTTAGACAATGGTTGTTGGACAATGGTATTAAAAATACTGCACTATCGAGCAGAGCGAGATAGTGTTGTATAGGTGGATAAAAAATAGAAAAACAGCCTTTTTCATTTGACAATGTAAGATTTGTCCCCACTAGGGAGCGAAGCGAGCTAGTAGAGCTTTAACAACCTCCACTAGAGAGCGAAGCGAGCTAGTGGAGTTTAACAATTTTCTCAGCTCCACTAGAGAGCGAAGCGAGCTAGTGGAGTTTAACAATTTTCTCAGCTCCACTAGAGAGCGAAGCGAGCTAGTGGAGTTTAACAATTTTCTCAGCTCCACTAGAGAGCGAAGCGAGCTAGTGGAGTTTAACAATTTTCTCAGCTCCACTAGAGAGCGAAGCGAGCTAGTGGAGTTTAACAATTTTCTCAGCTCCACTAGAGAGCGAAGCGAGCTAGTGGAGTTTAACAATTTTCTTAGCTATGCAGTACTTTAACAAGCTGTATAGTACACTATCGAACAGAGCGAGATAATGGGCAGATAGTGGGCAGATAGTGGGCAGATAGTGGGCAGCTAGTGGGCATATGGTGGGCAGATAGTGGGCAGCTAGTGGGCATATGGTGGGCAGATAGTGGGCAGATAGTCGGTGCGCTCCACTATCTCGCTCTGCTCGATAGTGGAGCTCGATACCGATATCACGTGACTCCTTATCAGAAGTTGCGCGGTATATCTCATTACAAGAGAATAATAGAGGACAAAAAATCATATCTTAGATGTTAAATACCAATTCCATATCTCGGATATTGTTCAAAAAAAATAAAAGAAATAATGGCTATCCAGCAAATTTGTGTCAATTGACTCATAGATATCTCTTGACTATATTTTTTTGTTAGATACTTTCTAAAGTTTAAACGTCATAGGATCTAAGAAACCAGTTGCATTGATGAAACTTCCCTTTCTCTCTCTCTACATATTGACCAAGAAAGTTTGAAGTAAAATATATCCAGTGTAGTAATGTTCTAATGGTAGTGTATAATAATCATACTTTCTTATCAGAAAGCACCCACTTTTTATGGAGCCAATATTTTTAACTGAAACGTACACTACCTACTCTGCTCCTCTTTTCTTTTTTTCCCCTCTGAGCCACACATACATTAGGTTCATAATAAAAACAATCTTTTTCTTATCAGTTGCCTCTCTGTCTAAATGCTCACACAATTTGCCCCCCATTCATTACCCACAGAATTTGTATAAAAAAAAAAAGGCTTTATAACTTGAACTTCTTTCTTTCTCTCTTTTCTTCTTTACTAAAGTAAACTTTTATTCTCTGTAGTTTCCCATATCTACTACTAGAGAATACAAGAAGTTACTCTAAAGATCCACGCACACACATAAACATATACTCATTACACACATATACACATTACACACATATACACATTACACACATATACACAAGTAAGTTTTCAAAAGAATGAAGTTATCTAGAACTATTGCGCTTTCAATTTTAACTACACTCGGGGTCCAAGGTTTGGTTGTTCCCTTTGTAGGAGACGTTATTGACGTTTTTGGCACTGCAGTGGAGAAATATCATAAAATTGCTGATGATAAATTAGATGCTATTAAAGATGCTTCAACTCAAGCTGCTCAACATTTGGGCATTGATTTGAACCACAAGGTGTTGGCACCAATCGTCAATATTGATTCAACAAGAGATATCATCCCCCACAAGTACATTGTCGTTTTCAAACAGGGAATCTCAGCTAATGAAGCCTCTTTCCATCAAGAATGGGTTGCTTTGACTCATGCTAACTCCTTGGGCCAGTTGCAACTCGCAGAGAATCAAGAGTTGAAGGATTCGTTTTTAGCATCTACATCTGATTTCCAAGTCGAAGGTGGTATTATTGATAGTTTCAACATTAACGACTTGTTGAGTGGTTACTCGGGATATTTTTTGGACTCTACAATCGAATTAATTCGTGCTAATCCATTGGTTGAATTTGTTGAAAAGGATTCAATGGTTTATGCTAATGAATTCAATATCGAAAAAGGAGCACCATGGGGTTTAGCAAGAGTTTCGCATAGACAACCATTATCGTTGTCATCGTTTGATCAGTATTTGTATGATTCAGAAGGTGGTGATGGTGTTACCGCTTATGTCATCGATACTGGTGTCAATATCAAACACGTTGAGTTTGCAGGCAGAGCCAAATGGGGTAAAACCATCCCTTATGGCGATGCAGATGAAGATGGAAATGGACACGGTACTCACTGTGCCGGTACTATTGGATCTGACGATTATGGTGTTGCTAAAAAGGCCGAAATCGTTGCTGTTAAAGTGTTGAGATCAAATGGTTCTGGTTCAATGTCTGATGTTGTTAAAGGTGTTGAATATGCTGCGAAATCTCACCAAGATGCCGTAAAGGCACAAAAGAAGGGATTCAAGGGCTCTACCGCCAATATGTCTCTTGGTGGTGGCAAATCGCCTGCTTTGGATTTGGCAGTCAATGCAGCAGTCAAAGCAGGCTTACATTTTGCCGTTGCCGCAGGTAACGAGAACCAAGATGCTTGTAATACATCCCCAGCAAGTGCCGAAAATGCCATAACTGTTGGTGCTTCTACCATCTCCGATGCCAGAGCTTACTTTTCAAACTATGGTAAATGTGTTGATATTTTTGCACCAGGGTTGAATATCTTGTCTACTTATATTGGTTCAGATTCTGCTACTGCTTATTTATCGGGTACCTCGATGGCCTCACCACATGTTTGTGGTTTATTATCCTACTACCTTTCCTTACAACCAGAAGCAGAATCAGAGTTTTTCGTTGCTAGTGACGGTGTTACTCCAGCTCAATTGAAGAAGAATTTGATTGCTTTTGGTACAAATGACATTTTGGCTGATATTCCTGAAGATACTCCAAACATTTTAGCATTCAATGGTGCAGGTCACAATTTGACTGAGTTTTGGCACCTGAAATAAACTGAAATAAACTTGAAAGTGGGAGAGACCAGAGACTAGAGACTAGAGACTAGACGAGTGAAACGAGTGAAACGAGTCTAGTCGATTGAAGGAAAGAGAGAGGGAGGGGGGGGTGAGAGTGTGAGGGAGTGAGGGAGGGTGAGAGAGAGAGAGAGAGAGAGAATGTGTGCGTGTGTGTGTGTTTTATGAATTGATAATACATGTAGAAGTATTATATTATTTTGATGAATTCTTTAGTTTAGTAAAAGTATTTTTTTTTTTTTTGCCTTCCCCCAGTTGTAGCTAGAAAGTAGTAATTTGTTTTCAAAAGTAGAGCTCTTTCAATAGTAGAAATCTTTTCTGTGCTTCACTATCTCGCTCTGCTCGATAGTGCTCCATAGTGTTGCCCCATAGTGACTAGTCGTGTGAATTAAAAAGGGTGGCCCATCAAAGTTTCAAGACGAGCGCGCGAATAGGCCACAATTTTTCGTTATTGAGAAAAGGAAGAAAGGAAAAGAAAAAAATAAAAATTGTACTGGTGATTAACTTTACTATAAAAAAACTACAAATTACAAGTACAAGTATAAGTATAAGTATACTTATTACAACCACTACAGCCATACACCGTTTTGATTACAGTCATATATAGAAGATAATGTCTACACCGGCGAAAAGAAGACTTATGCGTGACTTCAAGGTATGTCCTCACCTCACTCTGCTCAAAATCCGGCGAGACGGGAGAGGGGGAGGGGTTTGTTCTTATTGGATTACATAATGTTTTCTCATTTCTGTCTAGGGCGTTAGCCGCCGCCGCCGCCCCTTCCCTCCTATCCTTGGTGGTTTGTGTTTTAAATACTAACTTGCTTTCCCTTTAGCGTATGCAACAAGATCCTCCTTCGGGAGTGTCAGCGCTGCCACTTCCCGATAATGTGATGAAATGGAATGCAGTGATTATAGGTCCTAGTGAAACGCCCTTTGAAGATGGGACATTCCGTCTTCTAATGCAATTTGACGAACAATACCCGAATAAACCCCCAGTAGTCAAGTTCATAAGTGAAATTTTCCACCCTAATGTATATGCGTCAGGTGAATTATGCTTGGATATTTTGCAAAATAGATGGAGTCCCACTTATGATGTGCTGAGTATATTAACCAGTATACAAAGTTTATTGAACGATCCTAATATCAGTAGTCCGGCGAACGTTGAAGCGGCAAATTTATACAAAGATCATCGAAGCCAGTATGTTAAGAGAGTTCGGGAAACTGTGGAGACAAGTTGGAATGACGAGAGTAGTGATGAGGACGACGATAATGAAGAAGAAGAAGAGGGTGAAGATGCAGAAATGTAGGGGGGGTGGAGGTGATGGAACAAGAGTAGAGCAATAGGAAGCTATATAGGATTATTGAATACATGTGCATATTTTAAATTAGTCAGGTTTTTGCCACAAGTGTGTGTGTGTTTGAGAGGGTCTTTAATTACATGGCCATTTGTAGCTTACAATAGCTGTCACTGACACTATCAGTAGAGGGTTTTGCTAGTGCGTAGATTGACTATCCTTTAAAGAAAACACGAGGTTAATACTATATACTGCTCCATTAGCGTGCTGCTCCACTAGCTCGCTTCGCTCCCTAGAGTCGCGTAGATTGATCCTTCTTGTAAGAAATGTATACAGACACACGAGTTTGATTGCATTTTCATCAATTAAACATCCATTCAGATAAACATATATACAAGGGCTATCATACATTATTGCAATTTTTTTATTATTGTTATCTCAAATAGAGATAATACCACTTCCTTCTGTTTCTCTTCCTTTCCTCTTCTTCTTGTTCCAACTTCTCTTTCGCTTCTCTTTCCTCTTCTTCTTTCTTCCTTTTCTCTCTTTCAACCTGATACTTATCAACAATCAACAATTCTTTAGGTTTCCCCCTTTCACCAATTTTTTTGTCTCGATAAACTGCAATCATAGTAATCATCAATATGGCAAATATAAGAACCTTACTCATGGGATCCATTTTCTTTGTATTAAATTGGTCCTTTCTTACCTCTGTCTCACTCAAATTCACAGGTTCTAACTTTTTCACTATATCCCCTGGTTTTCCCACACGAGCGTTAGATGGGACTTGAAATGGTAGATCTAATGGAGGAGACGAATTGCTCCTCCAATCACTAAACTTTTCTCTTACACCCCAATTACCAAAACTTATAAAATATCCCAATAGTTTATCTTGTTTGCTCAATTTGGTCCATTTTTTGTCATACTTTTCCTGAAGCTCGGCTACAACCTGTCCCTGGTGCAAAAGACTCAAATGCGGGAATAAGGTAGGATCCTGAAAAATTGGTTTCGTGTCGATGGGCTGCGTAGCGGGATCATCAGAACCAGAGGACGGCGATAGAAGTGATCCAACATCTTTGAGCGACTGGATCGCAAGCTGAGCTGCTTGAGCTCTTTTCGCCTCCTGTGCGGTGCTCGAGTTGAAACGACGTAGTAGGAGTGACATTCTAACCTAAAGTAATATACTTCTATAATTATATATATATATATATAGATAGGTAGATTGTTGAAAAATCTAGAGTATTTGAAAAAAAAAAAAAACGATTATAAGATGAGATATCATTCCAAATGGAGGCATAAACTTTGAAAAAGAAAGAAACTGTGAACCATTCTCAATATGACACGAAAACGTTAGAAATGTGAAGGAACCCGCTTCGAGCTTAGCAATAAAGAGTTTTTTAAAAAAAAACGTTGATGATATTTACCTTTTTCATTGAAAGCTCCTATGAATAGGAAATAGCTACAATGCTTAATTCGGTATATAATATTTACAAACACAAGGATTGGTGTTCCAGAAGATATGAAAAGATGTCTTTTCTCTTTTTTCCATTATTGTTTTTTGTTTTTTGGTATCATATATCATACAAGTAAACACACTTTTATTTCTTTCTGTGCTTCTTCTTGTTAGATTTCTTTGCATTCTTCTTTTTCTTGTTATTTTTAATATTCAGAGATGATGTAGATCCGGTAATTTGTGATGATGATGATGCAGCTGCAGCTGCAGCAGTTTTGGAAGTAGATTCATTTTGTACGGAGGAGGTGGATTCATCTATTGCTTCTGATACATCTACAAGATTCTCGGCTTCCAAAGCTTGTGATGATGTTGGTATTTTTGCGGCACTTGAATTTAGTTGATCCACATTGGTATTTGAATCTGGTTCATTTAATTGATCCACATTGGTATCTGAATTTGGTTCATTTAGTTGACCCATATTGGTATTTGAATCAAGTTCTTCGGTTTCTTCTGAAACTCGCAAAATATCATGAGGTTCTGTCACACTAGTGACATTTTCATGAGATTCTTCTTCATTTGCCGTTTGTGGCGCATCCGAGTTTTGGGGTGGTTGCATCGTTGTAGATGATGATGATGATGATGATGTCGACGATGCTGGTTTGAGTAACAATTGGTCAGTGGTATTGGTATCTTTATTGGGTACTGCTGAGCTCTCAGTTTGTTCGACAGGTCTCGGTGATTCTTCTTCTACAGATACCTCATTCAAACTTTTCCTACTCAAGCTATCTTGTGAATCTTTGTTTCCCTTTGATGCTTCTTCAGAGGCATAAATGTCATCAGCTTCTTGTATTAATTGCGTGGTTTCCATTTCTGAAAACAGTTCCTCATCACCTGTTCGATTGCGAATGTTTTCTTCATATAACCTCTCACGCAAATCCATAACCTCCTCAGGCTCATCAGTTATATTGGAGCCATTGGGAGTTTTAACTTCTTCTCCTTCTCCTTCCCCTTCCCCTTCTCCTTCTTCTTCTTCTCCGCTTCCATTTTCAGCACTTTTTGGTTTCTCGTTTATTCTCTTATGTTGAGCACTAGATCCAACTCTAACGATATCGTTTGAGCTTCTTCCAAAGAAATCTAATTCTTCTTCAGGATTGTATTGAGGTGGCAACTCTTCTCCCTTGTCCAATATCTTGTCGTTCCCATCATTGCCATTTTTGGTTACCACCTTGTTATACTGGGGCAAACTAGCCAAGCCTCGATCACCAGCAATTTTCTTATAATCGCTAGTGGACACAAATCCATATTTTCGAACATTTGCCTCGATCCACACAAAGCCACTCTGTCCCAAATTCACTTGAAACTTTGCATTTGTTGAAAAACATCCAATTGCAGGATACATATCGATAAAACAACCTCTCATTACATCTAATAGTTTCTTACCGTTTCTTGTAATGAATATTGTTCCCGTGGGAATTGCATAACCAAATCCTACAACGTCAGATTGGTGTAATGGAGGTAACACCAATGCATTATACTCACTGTGTTCACCTCTATGTTGTTGTAACGGTGTAGGGAATGGTTTATTGATTTTCAAGTTTCCCGTGCTTTCATAAGCAATTGAAAACTTGTTGTACCCGGGAAGTCTAAATGAAGTGGGATATGGTTTGGTAATTAATCCTATGGCGAAATGCTGAGTATTCAAATGGGGGTCCTCGACATATTCAAAAATCTTTGTTTCAAAATAAATTGTATCTGAATATAATCTATTCCTCACCGGTAATGGGTAATTCAAAGCTGCTGTTGTTGTACAATATGGCAAGTCGTTGTTGATGAAACTCAACTCCGTTTTGTCGGCAACGATATAGTGAGGATGCAAAACGTTTGCTTCCATATTAAATTTAAAGGCATTAATTCCATACTCCTTTATCACTTTTTCATCGTCCAAACTAAAAGTTTTACCTCGAATCTTTGTGAAATCAGGGGGATGGTTAATGGTGAATTCATGACCTTTTAGATATTGTTGTTGTTCCTCTGGGGAAAGATTGGTAAAATCGTATTGCTCTTCCAAGCACCTCAAGCTCTCTTCATCGTTGAGAAACTCTCTTGGTACATCGTTCAGAAAGGATCCCAAGATATTATCTGTAATTGATGAGGATAATCTTTGATACTCGCCATTACAAGGTAATCGCTTGCTAATAAACACTTTGTATATGCAAAGAAAAAGAAACAACACCACGATAGTCGTCAGCAACACTATAATCAAAACAACATTTGTTGGATCACTATATGCGAAAATTGTCATTGCAATTGAGTTTTGGAGCCTTTTGATCTTAAATAATGAGGATGTTAAAGACAAAATTATTTGACTTTTATGTCTTCTCTATTAAGAATGCGAGAAAAGAAAAAATAGATGAGATTTGACGAAAAAAGTGAAGAGGTTACATTGACCTAGCGAGCGAAGCGAGCTAGTAGAGAAGAGCAGTAGAGCTAGCGAGCAAAGCGAGCTAGTAGAGAAGACCTGTAGAGAAGACCTGTAGAGAAGACCTGTAGAGAAGACCTGTAGAGAAGACCTGTAGAGAAGACCTGTAGAAAGAGAGGTTACATTGACCCACTAGCTCGCTTCGCTCGCTAGTGGAGAAGAGCAGAGCCCACTATCGACACAATCTCGCTCTGCTTGATAGTGGACCAGTATTGTAGTTTCAAATATACAGATTGAGTTTGCGCTTGAGTCTAGTGAATTTTGCAGTTGTGGCTAGTTAGTATGTATTTTCAGTTATGAGTATCTTTGTATTTGCAGTAATGGTTATCACTTTTACAAGAAATTGCGCAAATTTTTAAATATAAAGTAGATAACTTTTCAATGTACCTGACAGATTAAGCACCGTGGCTAGTACAACACTATCGAGCAAGGCGAGTGGAGCAATTGCAAATATACTCAAATTTGTATAGCATCCGACACTATCGAGCAGAGCGAGATAGTGGAGCAACACTTTGTAGCTTAGTATCAAGCAGAGCGAGATAGTGGAGCAACACTTTGTAGCTTAGTATCAAGCAGAGAGAGATAGTGGAGCAACACTTTGTAGCTTAGTATCAAGCAGAGAGAGATAGTGTCGCTCGATAGAGGAGCAACACTTTGTAGTTTAGTATCGAGCAGAGCGAGATAGTGTCGCTCGATAGAGGAGCAACACTTTGTAGCTTAGTGGCTTGTCATAACACTATCTCGCTTCGCTCGATAGTGTTGCTCGATAGTGTTGCTCGATAGTGTCGCTCAATAGAGGAGCAACACTTTGTAGCTTAGTGGCTTGTCATAACACTATCTCGCTTCGCTCGATAGTGTTGCTCGATAGTGTTGCTCGATAGTGTCGCTCAATAGAGGAGCAACACTTTGTAGCTTAGTGGCTTGTCATAACACTATCTCGCTTCGCTCGATAGTGTTGCTCGATAGTGTTGCTCGATAGTGTCGCTCAATAGAGGAGCAACACTTTGTAGCTTAGTGGCTTGTCATAACACTATCTCGCTTCGCTCGATAGTGTTGCTCGATAGTGTTGCTCGATAGTGTCGCTCAATAGAGGAGCAACACTTTGTAGCTTAGTGGCTTGTCATAACACTATCTCGCTTCGCTCGATAGTGTTGCTCGATAGTGTTGCTCGATAGTGTTGCTCGATAGTGTTGTATAACAGGGAATCGTTCAGCTTATCAATTATATCGATTCGTTATACCATCTCAGTCTCAGAAAGCAGAGCGGGTTACCAAACAACAGTTGTATAGGAAGGTACCACTTGTGTACTTATGTGATAGCTGAGAAGTATCAAAGCTTGTTTCATCTTCCAACTCCCGACAAGTCAAGGATACCGATTCAACCACAATTGGTTGATAAGCTGATCGATGATTTTCGAGATTTCGTTAATCAATTATATACTGCATATATTAGAATCAATAGCCAATTACTTGGCAAGACAATAGGTGCAAAGTCAGAGTTTATGGCACTTTTATTGCAGTATCAAAGGGGCAGCTTACCAAAGTGTACGTTAGTGGGAGACTGGATCAAGCACGAACCTTGGATACAAGCTATTGAAAAGCAGTACGTTGCGGGAAACAAAATCAGGCAAGAGGATCGAATGCAAAATGAGTATAGAGGTGGTGTAGACGACTGCTGAACCTTACTAGAACGGTTTGGGGGCTATGATTCATGGTGAGCATTTGTACGAGTCTAAAAACCAAATCAAGTACTACTACAATACTTCAAAAATATCATCTTGCACCTCATCGCATGAATGAAAATAAAGTTGAGTAAGAAAATTGAAAAATTAGTTTCTTTTTTCTCCTTCCTTTAGACGATAAGACCAAGAGTTGTTTTAAAACTTTAGTAATAATAATTTGCACTAGTTGAATAAATGAAGAGGAATGGGGAGAGGTATATAAATGGAACAGCAAAAAGGAAACGATCTGAGAAAGTAGGAGAAAAGAGTGACGTTTTTGAACTTGTAGAGCCTGAGTCAAAGTCTGAAATTGAATCTGAAACTGAGTCTGAGTCTGAATCCGAGTCCAAGATGCTGCTATCTGAATCAGTTTTTAATACAGTTTACTCAAATAACGACAAATGGCAGCATACTATTAATCGTGTGGTCAGCGCCGTTGTCTCCATCCAATTCTCGCATGT